CAGAACCTCAGGGTCAATCTACACTGTCCCAAAATTAATGAGCAAAACATCCATATTTTCCTAATAAAGACAAACTATACATTCACATGGCCTTTGCTAACAAATAGATGCATATATTTAAACATCCATCCTTTTAGATAAAAGGTTAAGTGGATAAAATTCTTTCAGGTTTGAGTTCTGGGGCGAACATCTTTTCCATTGTCATTACTTACCTACTTTTATCAATAAACATTCTGCATAAAATTGATATTTACAAGTACTAATATCTACATAAATTGATTATTTAATACATTTTTAGTAAAATAGTTATTTAACTATGATTACACTAAAGACTCCTAAATGAATGCAGCGACACATCATTTTCTCTTTACCCCATAAAACACAAAATCTAGTTCTGAAAAGAGCAGGAATTCTGTGCTTACCATCTTTAATGTTAGTATATTGATGTGCATAATTAACAACTTTTTTTTGTTATCAAGTAATTATGAATATATGAAAAATTGTAAGTAATATATGAAAAACTTTAATGTTTTGAATATTCCACTTGATTATTAGGGGGAAAGAAATGGTAGGGGTGCCCACAGGAGTGGCCAATGATTGGCTAAGGGTGGCCATGGCCACACCCCTGGCCCCCCATCTAGCTCCGCCCCTGTATATAGATAATGATCACATTGATATGGCCCATGCTACATACTCCGGTACAGTAGGTGGCGGTATGCTCCTAAAAGTTAAGGTTGCAATCTGCCATTAAAAAAGAAGAAGAAGTAGACCTTTCCTTTGGGTTGTTTTGCATGTGTGCAGGACTGTCACCTCTCACCCTTTGGGAGTGAGACTCACCCATCACAGTGTCTTCACACTCTCTCACTCCTTATTCCCAATTTCTCACGCTAAAAAATGTCAGACATTAAAACTATGGCTGGGTAACAAAACATTTATTTAATCGATTTTTAATTGATTAAAATACATTTTTGCAAAATCGATGTCTAGGGAATGAGATCAATTAGTTTTATAGTGACACGCGTGATGTTCACATTCAAATGAGCAGGAAAGATGCACTCAAGCTGACTTCAAGTCAGACAGGAAATATAGCTGCAAATATAGCCAATAGGTTGATTGAAGACATTAACAAATGGGGGGCGATCACCAAACACCCTGTAGTTGTTACAGACAACGCTGCACATATGGTTTGTGCAGTGGAGATAATGCAGCTCAAGCATGTCTGCTGTGTCACGTCTGCCTGCTCGTGTGAGGCTTCACTTTTTCACTTTTCACAAACAAGTTTGCACTTTTGAGACAGTTTTGTTCACATCTGTAGTTTAAACTGTCTCATTTACAAGTACCGTATGCACTTTGTGTTTAATGTGACAGGGGAAAAAAATAAATGAATATTTTGAAACACAGTTGAACCACTTTCATTATTCTAAAAACAGATCGAATTGAAATTAATCGATTGAGAACTGTTTTAATCAAAACCGAATCGATTCAGGACTTTGGCGAAAATACCCAGCCCTAATTAAAACTCAACTCAGTCTAGTTCTTTCAGGTTTGCCTCTCAAACCCATACTGTAGGAGCTCCACAAAAAGAAAAAGAATCATTGCATTTTATTTTTTAAAAGATCAGCCACCCAAGAACAGACCAACCACATTCAGAGAGGATGTGCAGAACAGCTTATTTATCGTGGATTCATAGAGGAGAAACCACAGGGATGTTCTTCTTTTATCATTACTTATCATATAGATTTATCTTTATTTTGGTACACTGAATATGTACTTAATTTCCATCACACCTTTCAAACTGAAACATCCAAAGAAGTGCCGTCTCCTGTCATGGTGACTTTTTTATAAAATCTACAGCCTCCTAGAAGGAAGGAATTGTTTAGCTGTTCTGTAAATTGTAAAAAAAAAATAATAATAATAATAATAAGATGATAACTTAAGGTTTTTAATCCTTAACCTGTTACCAAATATTCATACACAGTGTAGTTTGCATAGGTGTTGATTGCACTGGTTCCTGTATCAGTGCGGGTAAACTAGAAATAGCTTATTAGTTCCCCATTGTTTAATTTACTTGAAATGCAGAGAATAATTAATAAACAAAGTTGTAAATTTGTTAGCCTAAAGTATATTTAAGATGCAAGTATTTTAGTAGGACCCATTCTGCTTTACTTCAATTCTCTAAAAATCACCAGAATGTAGAAAATAATTTATATTGTGTGAAAAATGTTCCACATAATTAGAGACCACCAGTTATTGTTACTCATTAACATTTACTGTGCTATTAAAATTCCACATTTTGCCTCTTTGTTTCAGTTAAATCCTCTGAAAACCTCCAACCTATAGCTGCACCTATCCTCATCTAACCCTGACAGGGTTTCCTTTCCAAACTATTTACACTTACACTATTTTATTTGAAAAGATAGCAAAAATAACGGGTGATTTTAATGAATCATTGTTTAGCACAATTTACAAAATGTATTATTACGAAATAGAATACAAAAAAAACAACCCTACAGAGCAAAAAAAGCTAACATTATATATATATATAAAGAGACATGTTCATATTTTGCAAAAGGTGACTTAATTTCTCAGCACAGATGAATCATGACTTGATTTTGTAATTCATATGTATTTAAAAGATCTTTATCTTTTTAAGATAGCTCTCTAAATGGCAGAGATGATCATAATTTGCGATTCATTAGAGGCGATTACTTTTTTTTGTTTTAAAAGAACCCTCAATTTGTGAATGACACAATAAGAGTTTTAATTACTCCCATTTGGAACATGGTGGGATCAAATAGTTTAAGAATATATTGAGAATTCATTTGATTACATATTTTGTTTTATACTTACACTTTCAAAGGGTTTTCCTTGAATTATTAGTTTTCAATGTTTACAAATCGAAAGAGACTGGGACAGTTGCAACAGGGATGGTTTTAATGTTTCTTAATTATGAAACAATTTAGAGGAACTCACACTACACATAATCAGCTAGATGCACGTAATTGCAGAGAAAATGAAACAGATTCAAGAGCTGCTTTGGAATTCATTGGAGAAGAAAACTTTTCTTTAGCTTAAGTATTTTTTTTTTGCTTTAGCATTGTTTTTATTACACTATTTTCAGTGTTTTTGTGATATGGCTCAAACATGTATGGTTTGAATGAGTTGTAAGTTTAGTTTTAGCTGATATGGTTAGCATATTTTTCAAATAAATACTGTACAAACAAGGAAGAAAACTCCAACGAATCTAAACCTAGTAACTTTATTTGAAGTTGAGGTAATGTGTAAAATCATGTATGAAGCTGGTGCTGTTCCACATGTTATGGAGAAAAGGACGCATTGATGTTATACACAGGGTAAGTACAGGAGATAGGGGATGATTACTGCACTTTTTTTCTCAATTACTTTGAGACAACTGAGCCTTTACAGCACCCATTATCTGCTAATTGCCCATACTGTTTAATGTGATTAAATCAGTTAAATCAATTGTTGCAACAAACCCTATCCTGGGATGTATCCACCATAAATCCATTAAATTTCAACAATCGACTATTGCTTTTTGCCTCCATGACATATTATTCTGAGGATTTGTATTGCTTATAAAACTTTATTAACAACAAAACTGCAATATCAGGCTCCGAAACGTGCAAAAACAAAGACATCCCAAAATGAATTAATTACATTTTGAATTTTCTTTTCAAAAACTTTTTAGTAATTATTCAAAATTAGCACAACAAACACAATTTACTAAGATATTCATGAAAACCTAAAAGCCACTTTTGAAACTGAAGAAACTTTTTAAAACAAGCAAAGACATCTCTTAATTATGTATTAAAGTTTTCATAAAAAAAAAAAAGGTTTTGGTTTTTTTTAAAGTAAATCCAAATAAGAATAATCAAACAACCGCCTTTCCTGTGACCCTTTCCAGTAAGTCAGGGTCACAGTTGTGGCATGTTTAAAAAATCTCCTCCAGCTGTGCAATCCTAAATGAGTAGAACTTCCACATCCAGCACAGCTGCCACACTTCCCTGGAATTTGAGCAGCTTTCCAGTTTGGGGAAGGTTGCAACAATCCTAATACTCCCCAGCTATCAGCTATGACAGGACACCATGTGCTAGCTAGAAACACAGGTTAACGCCCATGCTGAGCGTGTAACTTCTTCAAACTAAACGGTGATTCAGTCGTAACCAACTCATACAAGTTTAGTCTTGTATTTCTCTGATTAGAGAAAAAAAAACAACTTGTTACAATCGTCTGTTGTTGCAATAGCACCCAGTCCCCCCTCGAAATGAAAACCAGATATAATGAGGGGAAAGCTGAAAGATGTCGATGGGGGGAAAAATCATGCTGTTTATTCATACTGATATGGACTGGGTGATGTGTTAGCAACAAAATGATGCCACATCATTTGATGGAAATGAAAATTATCAACCTACAGAGGACTGAATTCAAAGACACCCCAAAAATTACAGTGAATAAAATGATGCGGCAGGCTAGTGCATTTTGCTGAAATTTCATTGCAGCAACTCAAAATGGTATTCAGTAATTTGTGTGGCCCCCGCGTGCGTGTCTGCATGCCTGACAACGTCAGGGCATGCTCTTAATGAGATGATGGATGGCGTCCTGGGGTATCTCCTCCAGGATCTGGAACAGGGCATCACTGAGCTCCTGGACAGTCTGAGGTGCAACCTGGCAGCGTCAGATGGATCAAAACATAATGTCCCAGAGGTGCTCTATTGGATTTAGGTCAGGGGAGCGTGGGGGCCAATCAATGGTATCAATTCCTTCATTCTCCAGGAACTGCCTGCATACTCTCGCCACATGAGGCCGGGCACTGTCGTTCACCAGGAGGAACCCAGGAACCAAACCGGTCATGTTGAACGATGTTACAGGCAGCATAATGTTCACCACGGCTTCTCCAGACCCTCTGTTACATGTGCTCAGGGTGACCTGCTCTCATCTGTGAAAAGCACAGGGCACAGTCGCGGACTTGTCAATTCCGGTGTTATGTAGCAAATGCAAATCGAGCTCCACGGTGCCGGGCAGTGAACACAGGGCCCACTAAAGGACGTCGGGCCCTCAGGCCACCCTCATCAAGTCTGTTTCTGATTGTTTGGTCAGAGACATTCACATCAGTGGCCTGCTGGAGGTCATTTTGTAGGGCTCTGGCAGTGCTCCTCCTGCTCCTCCTTGCACAAAGGAGCAGATACCGGTCCTGCTGATGGGTTGTAGACCTTCTACGACCCTGTCCAACTCTCCTGGAGTAACTGCCTGTCTCCTGGAATCTCCTCCATGCTCTTGATATTGTTCTGGGAGACACAGCAAACCTTCTGGCAATGGCACGTAGTGATGTGCCATCCTGGAGGACTTGGACTGCCTGTGCAACCTCTGTAGGGTCCAGGTAGCGCCTCATGCTAACAGTAGTGACAGTGACCCAAGCCAAATGCAAAACTGGTGAAAAAGAGTCAGAAGAGATGAAGAGGGGGAAAAAATGTCAGTGGCCTCCACCTGTAAAACCATTCCTGTTTTGATTGTCATCTCGTTGTTGTCCCTCTAGTGCACCTGTTGTTAATTTCATTAACACCAAAGCAGCTGAAACTGATTAACAACCCCCTCTGCTACTTACCTGACCTAATCAATATCCCAGAAGTTTAATTAACTTGATGCTATACTCTGATTACAAAGTGTTCCTTTAATTTTTTTGAGTAGTGTATATTTACAACAATATAATCCACTTAAAATTCTGCAATAGGAAGTTTCCCATGTGTTGGAATGTCTCTTATTTAAAAAAAAAAAATTAACAAAATGTAGTATCTAGTCCACTAATGGCAGGTGCAGTGCTGACTCTTTCTTATGGAAAGAAAAAACAATCATTAGAGCACAGCATTTAGTTGTTAGGATGACGGTTCCGTTTTTATGTGAAGAACCAGTTTGATCGTCACCGTTAATGTTATCGATCTACTTTTCAACGATGCTGCTAATAAAGCCAAGTCTACCTCTAATTTATCTAATTTGCAATACGCTTGTTTAGTTACCTGAAAGGTTACTTGGCCCTTCACCTGCGCAAGGCTCTATTGAGGTGGTGCTTAAGTTCTCGTGAGGCAAACTTACAAAAATCTAGACACTGGGTTTGATAGGCTTTTAAATTCATAAATACTATTTTGGGCCAAAGACAAAAAACAAACAAACAATTATTTCAGGAGGGCACTTTTCCAGAGGGGAAACGGGCAGGTGCTCTAGCTCCACCTAATGCAGGGGTGCTCAAGTCCAGTCCTCAAGAGCTACCATCCTGTAACTTATAGATGCATTTCTTCTCTAACACACCTGAATCACAAGGCTCAATCCCCTCATTAAGCAAAGCAGAGGCATGGTAACGAGCCACTTATCTGATTCAGCTACCACTGCAGACGTAACAGGTGTGTTAAAAATGGTTACACCAAAAAGTTGCAGGATAGTAGGTCTTGAGGACTGGACTTGAGCACCCCAGAAATGCCTATCTGTGCATGTCCCTGGTATCAATGGCAGGCCTGTGTTCCCATTGGCCATGTCTCAACAGATTTGACAGCTGAATGGTGATATCAGGTAGTTCAGTTCAGTTGCAGATAGCTCTCTGTCTTTACTGCATACATACATTACATTTAGACTGGCCAATAGGAACACAAGCCTGCCTATGACATATTTTTCACATCGAAAGAGAAATCCTGAATCAGGAGCATTAACTTAAGTTTTGAGAGAGAGAGAAGAAAAAAGGGTTGAAAGGAAAATCTGTTTTTGAGAGAAAATGTTTTCACTCCTATTGCAAAAAAAGCCTTATTTGAGAGTAAAATTAGATTTTTGAGTTTTCCCCCCGTGGAAACCATTCCAAATTACATCCAAATGTCAGTTTATCATAATTACTACTTTTTGACACAAAAATGATCTCAAAACTTTTCTTTAATTCTCAAATAACATCAGTTTTTGCTTTCAGTGTGAAAATGTTTTCTCTCCGATATATTTCTTTTTTTCTGTTTTATTGCATTTCTTTCTTTAATTTAATCAGGACACAATAACTACATAAATTACATCCCTATAATTACAAAACTGAGAATTCCTATTTCAGTGTCTCAATTCAAAATCTGCTATCGCATCAATATATTCAGGAAAGGAAGTGCAGCCTTGCTTGCACAACAGTTTCAGTTGAACTGTGACAACCGCTCAAACAACATATCCTCGGCATGGACAAGATGACCCCTTCAGAGGCACCTGAGAAAGTGGACACTGGATTGACAGTGGCGTGTGTTTTCCTGGGTCTTTCCTTTCTGGTCGGAGTACCAGGGAATCTGCTGGTCATCTGGACTATCCTGAAACATGTCAAGCAGCGCTTTCACTCTGTGGTACTCATCCTGCACCTAGCTGTGGCAGACATCATGGTCCTCATCACCCTGCCGGTGTGGATCTACTCCCTGGTGAACACCTTTGTGTTTGGATTGGTGATCTGCAAGGTCTTGATGTGTGTTATCACTGTCTGTATGTATAGCAGCATCTTCTTCATCACCCTTATGAGCATGGAGCGCTATTTAGCCATCTGTCATCCCTTTCTGATGATGCGCTGGAGGACTGAAAAGACTATGAATATATGTATTGCATTTTTGTGGCTTTTTGCACTTCTCCTTGGATTGCCTGATGTTTTAACCCAGACCTTTTACGACGGTGACAACAATGAGCAGTGCTTTCACATGGAATTTAAAAGCAACACTACAGAAATCATCCTCCTATGCCTGAAGACTGTACTAGGCTTTGTGTTGCCTTTCATCACGCTTAGCATCTGTTACTGTCATGTTACTGTGAAGCTCAAGAAAATGAATTTCAAGTCAAAACAGAAATCCAAAGTACTAATTCACACCATAGTGCTTGTTTTCTTCTTGTGCTGGTTGCCTTACCACGTCATTAATATAATTGATGTTGTATGCCTTTTAAGGTCTGACCAAGAGTCCGAATGTGTCCCAGAAAGTTTAGTCTTTAGCTCTGGAGCCCTGGTTTTTATCAGTAACTCAGTGAATCCTGTATTATACGCCTTCTTCGCCAGGAAATTCAGAGGCAGTCTTGGAGAGTCTCGTCTGGTTAAGCTGTTTCAGGAACTTGCATCAAACTCACACAGACTCAGGGAGCTCGCAGTTCAAAAGCAAAGGAACCAGGAGTCAGCAGAGAAAGGGGTAATGTCTACCTCTCTGCATTAAGAAATGAGGAAAAAATACTGACATTTTGGAAGAGCTGGGCTAAAAGACATGACTGTCTCCTTTAAAACCAAATTTGAACTGAGATGTTTGAAATCAGTAATTCTCTTTACTTCCACATGGCTGTGCTCTTGCTTTAATACAGAATCAACCAAACTCACCACTAATGTTGAAAATGCTGGCAAGAACTTGAGGTTGTTGCTTAATTTGGTAAATGTCCAAAGTTAACACCATTTTCTGTTACATGTATTTTCTTATATACTAGTATAAGACCTTTTAAAGATTTGTATAACTTTTGTAGCATATTGAGAGATATGTCTCCAATTTTGAAAATAGAAAATGTCTTTAATGTATCTTTTTTTATTCTGTTTTTCCAATGTGGTTCTTATTTCAATCAAAAAGTGTCTATTTTTTGCCTTTCACAATGTGCACTTTACACAAAGTAGGACTTCATACAATAAAAGGTTTTAACAAGCGCAGTGAATAAAACATCATCAAAAACCATCAACCATGAATCCTAGTTGTGTAGTTGTGTGTGAAGACATCAAATGAAGCACAAAAGTTAAGCTGATCAGCTGCTAATGGAAAACACAGTTGACAGCATTTAACATCATTCTGAAGATGCTGCAAGAGTTTTTTTTTTTAGTTTAATAATAACTTAATAACTTTAACTTAATGGATCTCATATTGGAGAAATGTACCTCTGCATCTTGCTCAGGGACCCAGACTGCAAGCACCACTAGGCCGCCACTCCCCTGGACAGAATGCATTATAAAACAAATTTTTTATGCTTTTGGATTTAAGCAAGTCAGTGAAAGCCATCATCTGTAAATACTCAAAGTAGCTATGAAATAGGGGTGACCCTTCAAAGGGCATTTTGTTCCAAGAAAAAGAGCATCATAGAGGTAAACAGTGTAATAGTGTGGTTATTTGAGGTTGCTTTAATTTATTTTAGATTAACCTGCACCACCATTGCTGAGTGACTGAAAAAACATCTGAAAGTTTTAAAAGGCCTTTCTAAAGTACGTATGAAAACCAGATTTTGAATTGCTCTGGAAATAATTCTGACCTTTCTGTTTCTAATAATGAGCCAAATTTGGTCCAGATTGATGTGACCAGCAGTGAAGAATAACTGAATGCACCACATAGAGGGGAGCAACAATGACTTTTTTATGACAAGCTAAGTTTTCTATTGTTTTTTTCTCTTAAAAGACATTAATAACTAAACTTTGAAAATTGATGCTTTGTATTTAGTCTTAATCTGCTTTTAAAATGTCTGTAATGATCTGATAAATCTGTATGACAACTAAGTAAAAGAGCAAATATTTTATATCTGAAATATTTTATGCTAGTACTATATATCTAAAGTGAGTTTCACTGAATTTCCTGAAAAACCTTGTCAGTAGCTTTAAGACTTTTGTCTTTATTCCATTCATTTAGGTTAAGCTAAAAAATTTTTTAGAAAGCATTGAGCAATTTCTTTTAAAAGTGTGATTTCATGTAAATTCTTTATCTTTAAAGCTCATTTATGGCCAGAAGCAAAGAATGAACAGAAGATGCATGTCTAAAAAAAAGCCATGTCAGGAAACCTTGTTCCTTTGCAGTCTTTAAATAAAAGGGAAGTGAAAACTTAGCTTTTTTTCCCCAACCAGACACCACAGTCAGCACATATACGCTGGGAGGATGAACGACTCACATCAACATATTTTGTTTTCGGAAGAAATGGCCCCAGAGGAATTCGATGGTGGAATAGTGGTGGCGTGTTTGATCCTGGGTCTGTCCTTTTTGGTTGGCGCTCCGGGCAATTTGCTTGTGATCTGGACCATCCTGAGGCATGTGAAGCAGCGCTCGCACACGGTGGTTCTCATCTTGCACCTAGCTGCTGCAGATTTAGTGGTCCTCATTACCCTCCCTCTCTGGATCTACTCCCTGGCTAAGTCCTGGGTCTTTGGACTGACATGCTGCAAAGCCATGGTGTTTATGATCACTGCCTGCATGTACAGCAGCGTTTTCCTCATCACGCTCATGAGTGTGGAACGTTTCGTCGCTGTACGTTATCCATTTACTTCTGCAGTTTGGAAAAGGAAAAAAGCGCTGAATAAAGTCCTGCTTGCTCTTTGGTTGGCTGCGTTCCTTTTCAGCATACCCATCATTCCTACTCAGATTCTTGAGGAGCACGAAGGTACGGCACACTGCCTGTATCGTGAGTATACTTCTGACACTCAGGAGCTAGTGTGTCTGCTGCTGGAGACGGTGGTGGGCTACCTGCTGCCATTCACAATCCTCCTGGTCTGTTATGGGTGCTTGTGCAGCCGCATCACTCAGATGACCTTTAGGTCCAAACGAAAGTCCACTGTCCTGATTGCAAGCGTGGTAGTTGGATTTGCCATTTGTTGGACACCACATCAAATAGGAAACATCATCTCCATCATCATCCTGGCCATTGAAGGCTCATCCATGAAAACAGCAGAGAACCTGGAAAGTGTTCGACAAACCATGACTTTCATAGCAGGAGCCATGGTCTTCATCAGCAGCAGCATTAATCCTGTCCTCTACATGTTTGCGGCCCGCTCCTTCAGGGAGTCGCTGCGTGATACTGGCATCCAGAAGCTCTTCCGCCACATCTCCAGCACCTCCCCGGGTGAGGGGACCAGAGAGGTGTCCTTTGTATCCAGGAGACAAAGCAATCAGACCACAAGCTCTCAGTGTGAGACTAAATCAAAAGATCAAATGGATATGTATTGAAATTGAGATGTCCTCTCACACTGAAAAGTGTTATATATGTCTGTGTGTTGCTGTTTGTAATGCACTATTTTACTGAAAGAAATCTGTTCTAAATGAAACCTCAACTGCTTCAGAACAAAACTGATATATATGATGTCTGCTATCTCTTATCATGTGCATTTTACATTTTTTTCTGTTAATTTATTTATGAATCTTTATGTATCATATACTCTTTATCCCTTGTAAAATGCTTTTTACTATTATGAGCGTTACATTTATGTTAGTCAAAACAATTTTTAATAAAGCCTTGTTTTTCAAATGAGGTGTTTGTAATTGTTTCATTTCATGTTACTGGAAAAAGAAAAAAAAACTGCTACTTAACTTCTGAGAAACAACATTGACTAAAAGTGGTACTTTTGTTTGTTAATCCTGTGGTTGCCATTGATACAAAATAACTTCATGTTTGAACTGCACTGAAATGAGTAAGGTCGGTAACTGCAACCTATCAGTGTAAGCATCTTGTGTCACAATGGGAATTGCTCACTTTATGCTTTAGCTTTTATTTGTTAAAAAAAATATAATAAAATTTCCTCTCTCACAGCTAGGTTTTCCACTTCTCATGTTATGCACTCTTCCTCTCCTACATGTCTTCAGGAAGATGACTTGATAAAAATGTGATCAGTGGACTATTTTAATATCTGTTACCTTCTGATAGCATGATTCAGGATATATTCGAAGATATCTAATTGATTGCTCTTGTTTCATGTTAAATTGCTTTCATGAGTGATTTTCTTTTTAAACTTATGACAAAAAAGCAAATATTTGGCCATGTATCCCACAACACAGTCATGCTTTCAACTTCCCCACACTGAAAGATTGCCAAATGAAAAGTGCATGTTTCCTTTGTTGACATGCAAAAAAGAGGAATTGTGTCCTATAGTTGGTCTGTATTTTATAACCCAGAAAATGAACCTCGGACAGCGAAAAATGCGCTTTGAACAAAATCGTTTTAGGTATTTAAAATTACTTGTTTACCTGACAAAGTACTTTGGTCTATTTGTTGTCATGAATACAAAAAACAGTCTGTTTCTCTGTAGTCCGTTCCTCTTTTTCACAATAAATGAATAGACCTGTAGATGGCAGCAGTAACTCTTGAGGACATACAAGTGTTTAACATTTCCTTTTTGAGTTGCCCTTATATTTGGCTAAGTTATAAATTAAAAGTTATCATTTTAACAAATTTCTGACAAACAATATGCTCCTTTTGGAACATTATTTAAAACAATTTCACTCCTTCTGTGCAGGTTTACCAGAGACAGTAAAACTGTGTGTCAAAATGTCTTTGATTGCAATAAATCTTGAATCCAGTAAATATAGAAAAAAATCCCTTTTCAATTTTGAAAAAGCTTAACCTTGAAATCTCTGAATGGATTGAAACCTCTTTATGAAGCCCCTCTTTAACTCTATACACCCCTAAAAGTTCATTGAAACCTATGGAACAAGCATTCCTAGTTCTTCTCAGGTTCAGGTTACAATAAAGATGTTTTCTTTTTTTATTTATCCAGCAGGAAAATAGAAAAAGTATATCTAAGCTCTATTAAAATACCCTGCACAGTAGGGCAGGATCCTGCAGAATTAGCTACAATAAAGGATTTGACTAAAATAAAAGTGTTAATACATTATTTATCTACCAGAAATTCATTCAAACTCCACCCCTATCATTACACACAGCCAAACCCTCCTTGTTGTAATCAACCATTGGATACAATCACTCCACTGTGAAGTCAAGAGCTTTAACCAGTAAAATATATATTTCCCTTCCAGTGTCCGACTTTATCAATGTGCCACTTCATCAATGCCTATTAAAATTTCTCATAGGTTTTCTTAATTCTAATGAATTGAAGGCTAAATACACTGATCCAATTACAATCACTGATTATTGGTGATTTTTGACTCTGACAGCGGAAAAACACAGCAAGGCAAGGGGTGTGACCAAAGTGAGATCACACAACAACAAAGATGCCAACAGAGACATGCTAGGAATTTTCTTGTTAAATACGGAAGCAACATGTACTGTAAACATAGTCTGAAATCTAAATAGTTATGTAGTTACTAGATATGTTCCAAAATGCTTCTTTATGCGGTTACCTTTGAACCCTTTAAAGAATTCTGCTTTATGTATCTATACAGAATTTATAGGTATATATAATAATCAAACATTATAACATTAATTTTTTTTGGTTCCTTTCATAGCTGGGGCAGAATGTATAAAAAGGAATTTATACTTATTATTTCTGTTAAATGCACTGATCAAAGAAAATACTATAATTGTCTATACTTCTTTCCCTTTTTTGACAAATAATCTTGCTCACTTTGTGACTCCATGAAGGTAAATGTCATCTAACATGGGCTTCAAGCTGGAAAGCTTCCCTTTTTCTCCGTCTGGTAATCAGACTGGTTCAGCTAGAAATAGCGAGTCATCACACTTAGAAGGAGACACAAGAAATCACCTCTGAGACTAGGGATTAAAATGAGTGAAGGGAAAAAAAACTGAGAAAATGTGAGAAGAGAAGGGAGTGTCAGCAGAAACACAACAAGACATTTTGGGCACAGGGCCAGAGGGGAGCCATAGAAAACTCCAGAAAGATAGAAAGGACCTGTAAGCTTGAGCCAATTATTTGTTTAGGGATTATGTTTAATGTTAATCTTCTACAAAAAAGGGATAAAACTTCCAAATACTCCAGAAACTCCAAATTTAGATATCTGAATGTTTTTTTCCATTTATGAAAGATTTTTTTTTTTTTTATTCACCTATTTTATTTAGGCAAGGAACGTTTCGGTACAAAGACAATTCAAAATCCTTTACCTGAATTACACTATGAAAACAGAAGAAACATAATTGCAAAATAAAGGTAATTAAAAATAAAGACATGATTTTAAAAAAAGCCATTGCAGACTACAAAAGATTTATTAAAGGAGATACAACCTGATATTGTGTGCAATCGTCTGATAGTGCCTTTAAATTCATGTTTAATCACTTTAAGAAGAAAAAAAATGTAGATCCAGTAGCAGCACCAGAGAAAACTGGGTTTGTGAGTGGATGAAGGGGTGGGGGTCATGAAGGTCCAATTAAATGTGTTGGTGCAAATATCAGTAATATATAGATATGAGTCGCATTTTCTAGTAGTATTAGTATTTACTAAACCTTAAACATGTAATAATTTTTAATGATTCGACAAAAAAAAAAAAAAAAACAGCTGAAACAACCCTGATGTTATATTATATTTCTACTCTTTTCAAGAGTGGAAAAAATTATATAGAACATCATCCTCAACCATTCTTAGAGGCTCATCTTATGTCCTGTGATTAGTATTAATAATTCAGTTATTAATATTGTTAATATATTATATTGGACATGTTGGACACATTTTGTTTTATAAAACTGTGTTCTTTATTTTGAACATAATGTTACATGTAACACATATTGTTTAGAAACAAAGGAGTTAATTTATTAATGGTTCATTAGTGATCAATTGCTTTGGTCAATTTCTTGATACAGCACTTTTAAACATATAGAACTGAAGACTTACTGGCCCCATTAGATGTTTTACATGTTTAAGAAGTTTATGAAACCAAAAATCAGTTTATGAAACCAAACTTTTTTAAATCTAAAGGATATTTTACTATGTTTAGCTGCTTTAAATGCTTTGGGTGTTTTTTTTAGCTCAGATAAATAACCATCTGCTCTCAGTTCTTCATGGTGATCCTACAGATTCTTGTTTAAGTAAACATCTATTACATTTCCTGCAGTGTGATATTAGTGAACAGCTGTAACTTAAAATCACCCAATTCTGGGTTGGGTCAGTATTCAGGTTTTACCTCAATTCTAGCATAGGTTATATTGCTTCCAGCAGTCCCTGTGCAGTTCTGAAAATGGCCTGGTACTCTGTGGGGGTAATGAATGAGGTAGGCTTACCGGCCCGGGTTGCAAGTCTGGCTCTAATTGAAAGTAAATTTTTTAGGCTGCTTTTTCTAACGAGTCATAGTCATATTATGGTGGTGCAGCTAAACAAAGTGGTTCACTTTGTTACACTTGCCTGCGGCTTGTTGATAGTGCTTCTTTTCCAGCCCAGCTTATATGCAGCCTGTAATAGGACCAATCAAATTCCACATAACAGTTTCAAGGGTTATCATTTTTCTACAAAATGTGAAGTACAGATCCAGCACCAGTTTGCCCAGCACCACACAGAGTTGGCAATAATGCTGTGATTTGATCTGACTTTGGATCAGATAAACAACCAACCAAACATGTCCATATTAAGGGGGCACTTAAGACCCAGCGCCAGTTCCATTTTTCACGCTCCTTATTTTTTCTCACGGGGTACGATTTAGAATTTGACTTGTGTGTATACACGTTCATTGGGATGTAGCTTTAGCAACATTAGCCATTTGTTGTGGGTTTTTTTACCAAGGCAAATTGGTGAAAGAGAAACTGGTATGATGAAACCAAGGGGGGCTAATGTTAGCACCCTTCCATTGATCAAAGAGAGGGACCGAAATCATGCAAAGCCCGTTTTGATCTTTCTGGTTTCAACAACATAGCAGCACAGAAAAAAAGCAAAGCAACTTCCATACTCTGGATCTTGTGGCAGGTTCTAACTGAAGCCTGAACCCAAATTATTATGTTTTAAGAAGAAAAAGTAGATTTTTAGACTGTGCAATGAATCTAAAATATATGAATGTTCAAGTTTTATCATGACATTATGGAAAATAATCAACTTTTTCACAATATGCTTATATTTTGAGAAAGACCTGTATTGGCTTTTAGGGACTATGTGACCTTCAAGATGTTACTCTTTGCTGCTGAGTTCTATCGGGGGTCCTAGCAGATGTTTTCACCTTTTTGAACCTTGTTTTATTTGTTGTTTTAACCATAAAGAGCACTTAACAGAGATGGTCCTTTGTAAATCAAGACATTAAGCATGACTGATAACAAACACGCTTGTCGCTCTTTAACTTTAAAAAAAAATATGTTGCAAAAATAAAAAAAAATCAACAGATGTATATAAGATCTAATAATAGATTTAGGGATTTCTCAAACTAATGCTTATATTTCTGAAATTGTCTGATATATCAGCCAAAAAACAAATATTATAATATATCGACCTGCATCTAAGGTCTCCGATATAAGGATGCTGACAGAAATACACCATTTCTATTTGCTTCTGTTTTAAGTTTATGTGGGTTGATAAGAAATGGGTCAGTTATTCTCATACATATTGTCATTGACTTATGCTCTCTGTTTGAGTAATATCTGTCTTTTTTTCATAATCCAACACTACAAAGTAATTCATAAAATTATGTATGATTTATCCTGATCTGTTAATACTCAAAGCTGCAATACCTGAAAAAAGGAAAAGTTTCATGGGGACAGCCCTAATTAGACTTGATGTGTTAGACTCTAAACAGTCCCGACGGCTTAAAGCACAGGTGCATTTTAATTCAATGCCAATATCATTGATAAATTCTACTATTTCAGTAATTGAAATACAAAGAAAACTTATATCTTTTAAAAAGTGGATAGACAAAGAACAATATATCTTAAACTTCTATGTTTTCATGGAATATTGTCAGTTTGACAATATGTCAAGAGTAGGATGACAAATACAAGACCAACTGATGCGGACAAAGCCATAATTAAAGCAGCCTGTGCTTTCAGAATTGCATTGGATCATGACCTCCATGACACACATAATTGATGCATTTTTTAAACATGGTAGCTGATCTTCAGCTACCACAGTATACAGATTAAATAGTACTACTTATACTTCAGCAGACTCAAGATGTTTTATCGTTATCTCCCTTTTATCTCCTCTTTCTTTCATCTTTTCTCCTTTCTTTTTGCGTCTCCTTTCCTGTTCTACTTACATTGCAGTGTCCATATAATCTGTAATACGTCCTGCATGAATTATAATAAAGCTATTTATATGCATAAATCAAGCAGAACAACATGGTGATAGCTGTACTGTTCCACTTGTGAAAGCAAAATCTGTTGGGCTCTCTTTATGGCATCAAGAAAATTATTCTTAATGCCACATTGCCAGACAGGACACTGTAAAAAAAATAATAAATTAAAAAAAAATAATAATAAACATGTTTTGAGTGCATGTACTATTGTTTAGTACATAGAGATAATTATACTAGGCTAGTATATTTGTAGGCTATTGTGAAATGATGATATACCTTTAATGAAAGAAAATACAAACAAAATATACGATTAAATGTTTCTAACTAAACATAGGCCTAAATAAACTTAGTTCTTAAATCGCTTCCAGATAATTTTTTTAATCGGGGGCGTATTTTGTATACTTTTGCTTAATGCAAATTGCCAACATATAAACTTTAACAGCATTCAAAGGGGACCTTATGGCGTAGTTTAGAGTATGTTCCTCATTTACCTGCACTTTGCCTTCTTTATCAGCGTTAAAACATCAGCAGGCTCCACGGATGAGCCTTTGTGCGAACATCCACTTCCTGAATTAGAATCAATTCAGCCAATGGCATTCCAGTATTCAGCCTTAGGTCCCGCCCTCACCTTTCCGACCCAGCCAATAGGCGACGCCTGTCTCTTCTCTGAGAGGCAGAGCTACACAGGTAACTCGGAAAAAAAATAGGAGTGGAGGAAAAAAAAAAAAAGAAAGAAAAAAACCTCTGGGGCTTTTTATGGAGTTACTGTGAAGGTAAGACGGATTTCCACCCTTCTTCACCAGTCAAACCAGTATCTCTGGATAGAACAGCCTCAAGTAAAGCAACAGGTAGAGTCTCTGACCGCAAACTCTTCCGTGGCTCCTCTGAAAGTAATCTCCCCACTTTTCTTTCCCTCTGCGTTTTGTCTCAATTGACTTTCCAGCCCTTTTGTTCGCTCTCCTTATCACTTGGAAAAAGGTGAACCCTCGTGTTATTTTTTTATTTTAATCTTTGCTCTAATTGTAGTTTTTACCCTTGTGGTCCCTGATGGCTTCGCACAGTGATACTCTGGTGGTGTTCTTTGGGGCAACAGCTGGTGCAAATGGGGGTAAACTGGGTTCGGATGAGAGGGAAATAATTCTCTTGGTGTGGCAAATTGTGGATCTACATGAGAAAAAGGTATGGACCTTTGTGACCCCTCTTTACCTCTTTCGTCATTTGTTTGGTTTCTTGTGTTTGTGGCGCAGTGTCCGCCCTGTAGTTGAACAGTTTGTCATTTTAAATCAACACGGTGTGCTTTCTGTTACTGCCTGCAGTGCACTATGGGGCTCTCATTAATCTAACGCTACAAGCTCACCTTTTTACGGAAGAGGATTAGGGCCACTGGGAAAAAAAATAATAACTGGTTTTTTTAAATATTATTTCAGTTTAATATGGGAAAAATTTAAAATTCTGACTTTAATCTAAAAATTCTGACTTTAATCTCAGAATTCTGACTTTTATTTCAGAATTCCGACTTTATTCTGAATTAATCTCAGAATTCTGACTTTTATCTCAGAATTCCAACTTTATTCGGAATTAATCTCAGAATTCTGACTTTTATGTCAGAATTCTGACTTTTATATCAGAATTCCAACTTTATTCTGAATTAATCTCAGAATTCTGACTTTTATCTCAGAATTCTGACTTTTATCTCAGAATTCTGACTTTTATCTCAGAATTCTGACTTTTATCTCAGAATTCTGACTTTTATCTCAGAATTCCAACTTTATTATGACTTAAGCTCAGAATTCTGACTTTTTTTAATACTTAGAATTTTGGATCTTAATGTAGATGGGCATCATGAAGGAAGAGATGTGGGAGCACTCAGCTTCACTGACAAAGGTGTTAGTTGTTTGGGAGGGCCAGTAACACATTGGGGAAAAATTATGGAATAAGGCGACTTTTTACGTGCTTGAGGGGTCCCCGGTGATGCTATTTCATTAATGGAAGACCAGAAATTGATTAAAACGAGAGCTAGTTTAGTCTCTAAAACAGACATGGCTACAGCTTGATGCTGACATGTTTGTTAGCTGTCAGAATTCAGTCAGAATTCTGAGATTAAAGTCAGAATTCTGAGAAAAAGTACGAATTCTGACTTTTTTTTCCCATATAAAACTGAAATGATATTTAAAAATCAGCTAACTTATAAAATTTTTTCAGTGGCCCTAATCCTCCTCTGTACCTTTTTAACAGGTGAACATTTGCTTTATTTTCCCACTTATCAAAGGTGGAATTCCACCTTACAGAAAAAAACACACCTTTTTGGTTTAGCATATAAGCTTCTCGACTTAATTGACAATTAACCTGCTTTTTGCAACTACATTGTCAATTGTTTGACCTCTTTTTCATATAAGAGTTAATTTCCTTGTTAATGTGAGGGGCTTATACCATAAATTTGGCCTTTTTGTTGTTTTGTGTCCCCGTCCACGCTATGAAAATCCTGAAATCCTTTCACAGGTTGGGAAGCTTCATAAATGTTTTGTCAAGCCAGACACTTTGGAGCTCACAGATCAGTGTAAAGAAGAAACCGGGCTGACATTGGAGGACATTCTTAATGCCGATCCTCTGGACAAAGTTCTGCAGCAGGTGAGTCAAACAGGCCATTTCAGTATGAATGGGATTTGATCTTTTTTAATGAACTCTTAATAGTCTACCCTGCAGCCTGAAGTGACCCAAATCTGATTTTTTTTGGCCCATATGCGACCTGTATCTGATCTTTTCATGGCAGTTTAAACAACACAGATCAGATTTTTCCCAATGCGATCCATGCCAATGGCTATGTGGTCCTGAATCCGACACGAATCGGATATTTTCAAATGTGACCTGTGTCTGAACGGCCAGGGTGCATTCATCCGACCTGAACGCCATCAATACCCAACAAAGGTCACTATTCCAGGTCTTGCTATGAAGAAGTGGCAAGAAAAACAACAAGCATGGCAGACAATGATGCGGAGAGCAGTATTTATGTTTAACCATCTTGAAAAGATTGAGTTTTTAAGGTTGGAGAAAAATCACTAGATGCACTCTGGCACTACCGTCCATGTTTACTCTCGTAAACACAGAGCACTCTCGCTCGTGACGTCATTGCATCCTCTACTGCGCATGCGGGACAATTGCGTTATGTCTGCAGTTCAAACAGGAGATCACATACAAGTCACATATATTTGGGAATGTGAACGGCAACGCAAAAAAAAAAAAAAAACGGATTTCACAAAAAAATCGGAATTGAGCATTAAGGCCTGCAGTGTGAAAGTAGCCTTATTGCTGCGCACTGTCAGTCATCTGGCCTCTGTTATGCTTTCATCTAGCTTCCAGTTTTGAAAAGAAATCTGGTCATGTAAAACACATTGTCATGATATGGGAACTGAAGGAACGTCACCTATTTCTGAATAGATATGAATTGGAGATAAAACCCAAATGTTTTATATAGTGTCGGAATATTGGTCCGTTGCTGAGAGGGGCTACAGTTATTAATATTGAAAAGATGAGGCTTATAAAAGGATTGGACTCCAGAGAAATTAATTTTAAATGGTTAATGGTCTGAACTTGTACAGCTCTTTATTAAATATAAAGACTGACTGCCATACAAACCTCTACATCTTGATCCATGTTGTCATCAGGGAATGTATTTTCCTTAACATCATGTTGAAGCACAGTCATAATTCAGAGAACCAATAGCACCTGCTTCAAATACAGGTCATAACCCCTGCTAGTCAGTTTTAAAATTAGTTTCCCTTCCATGTTTTTCTCAGGTTTTTGGCATCTAATGTATTATGTCCTTTGGTAAATGTGGGAATGTTAACCTCAGCTCATTAACCTTACACCTAATCTGAGGAGAATAAAAGAAACTGTTGTTTTTCAAGAGAGAATCAGAACCAAAACATCATGTTTCTTCAGGGTATTATATCCTATTAAAACGATTGATAACATTTTGCCTTTAAACAACAATAATTAATAAATTTGCCTTATATTTCAAAGTAAAAAATAAAGGGAAAGTCAGAGATTTAGAAAAAGTTCCTCCTAAATTTAGAAGAAAACCTGGCATTGCGAAGAGTAATTAAAGCATTTGTGGATGTGTTGGATCAGTGGATTCATGAATGCATTAGATACAGTTGATTGGTTATACTGTATCTCAGATTTAAAAAAAAATGATATCAGCAGAATTCAGTAAAATTCCCAGTTATGTTGCTAAAAAAGTTTTTTTGTTTTTGTTTATGTGATTGACAGAAATTCTTGACAGTGACATCCATAAAGGCAATAAAAATGTTTCGAAGGGGATGTTGCGTAATTGTCGTTAAAGTGATTAAAACCTGAATGGTGGTAACAGGCTCACTGATAGTGGGCTACCACACCTTTTGATATTCTTAGGGAATGATAACCTCTAGTAAGAATTCGACTGTTTCAGTACTGCAGAATAATTTAAAGCAAGTATTTATAACAAAAGACAATTTTTTTTTATTTAGGAAAAAATAAACAATTATTCCCATGCCTGCTTAAAAAATATTACATTTGTAATATTGTTAGCTATATTAGATTGATTTTAACATTTAAATGTTAAAGGAAAAGGTTAAAACTTTATTAGTTGACAAGCATATTGTGCAGAATATTATATATATATATATATATATATATACACAGTGATTTGTGAGTGCCTGCAGTTGGCTGATTGCCAGATATACCAGCTTAGTTTAAGTTTTTTAAACAAACTTTTGTTGAGAGTCGTCTTCAATTTTCATATTATGACTTCCTGAAAGTGAAAATATTTACAGACAACAAAATTTCAGAAAATGCAGTCTTTGCAGTAACTTGGGGCATTAGGAGCACTGCTTTACTTTATTCACCATGCAGTTGATGAAAGTCCAACCTCTGTAGCAGTATACCTTGTGAAGGGTTTTCGAAGCTGCTGTTTTCATTTGGAAAATAGCAGCTGCTTTTAAAATGGTCTATGAGAGCATGAGAAACTCTGCAGGTTATTAAACCTAAAACGTTCCTCTGACAAATTTTGCCAAGAGCAAGATGTGACAGAACAAGCCTGACTTGGGTATTAAGCTGTAAGCTAATGTAAGGAGTGTCAGATTTCCTGCATTGCCTCTTAGAAAAATGGTCCACCTGCGTGAGATGTCATTGGCCATGACAGTTAAACTGTGCTCACAGCCTGAAGCACAGAAGCTGGGATGGGCAGACCCTTGGGTGTGAGGAGATAAGTTAAAGTCGCAGGTCTGGTCTTGCCTTGGTCTGATGCATACTGCAGACATCTGGAAGGTAAACTGTGTATCTGGGACTGCACCTCAGTTTTAGGCTGCAGGACAGGGGCATATGCTGCTATTGCTCACCTGCAGTCAGACTTCCTTTGCTTATACTGCTGTTGCTGCAACTACCCTAGAGTTAAAATAGAACACCCTAATAGACCCTAAACTTAGGGTAATATCATTTATGTATAGTCTTCATATCTTGGGACATTTGACTGTATTATTAGCTATAAATGGTGACTTAAAGAAAGAATTATCTGTGTGGAAAAAAATCTTAAGTGGACCCAGTTTAGAAATGACTTGTTGCTTTGCCTTGTTCTGATTCTGTTTTTGCAAACTGGTGTCTAAAGGACAGCTCCTGCAGCACTTTACAAAGTCATCATGTGAGAAACTCCTTTGCTTTTTTTTGGTAATCCATCTAAGTGGAAATGATGCTAACCAAGGTCCAGATTCCTTTCCTGCACTAAATACACTTTTCCTGCTGCTCAAGTAATCAATGATAAGAGCTTCTTATGACCATTAGCAGTGCTATAAGTTAAATACATTGAATGCTCTAGCAGATCACTTTCAGGCATTATTTTTTTCCTGCTGAAGCACTGTCTAACAGACAATGCAGTTTAATCAGAGTTTGGTAAAAATTATCTCATGATTATGGACTGAGTAAGGTTTTATCTGCTTTAGTTGAGACTGTGTGCTGAACCTTTAAATATTAACCCAAGCACTCAGTTTGTCCTTTTCATACCTTTGTGTGACTTGCCACTTTCTTTCACTGATGGCCACTTTGAAATTAGTTTATATTGGAATAAAAAAATAGCAATTTAAATGCTCTAAAGGCCCAAAGCATGAGGTCTGGAGCAGATGTTTCAGATGTGGTAACAGGTTTCTATATATTAATGGAAGAAGCAGCTTCCCCATTTGATGGGCTTTTTATATTGACCTGTCTAGCCACAGGCCCAAGGACATCTGTCAGGTGAAAGATTTATTATGGTAGTAAAGGCAGGTGTGATTATCAGGGCTTTTGATCTAGTGACTTTAAGATGGTTTTGTTTGTATTTTGATATTGTGTTAATTGCGAGGGCTTCCATTCATTTAAGGTAGATCCGAGATTTGAGTCTCAGATTCTCCCTTGATTGGCTCTGATTAAGGGCCAGCAAGTGAAATACTGAATACTGCAGGATTGAAGCCTGAAGCACAGCTTTGTTGTTTACATCGGGAAGTCATTGAAATAAAATATCAATTCAGCAAGTCAAATCTCAAACAGGAAACAGCCAGGAAATGTTAATTCATCAACTTTGCTTGAAAGCAAAGCTTGATTAAAAATGCTGTAGAGTCCATGAGTTGCATTTATTGCCTCATTTCTCAGTTTTCGCTTTAGTTTGTTTGCTGAAAGAGAACAAAATAGCATCCAGATTTATTGTCATATTCATCACCATATTCTTCCAAGATATAACAGGAACTTATTCTGCATAGGAGGTATGTGGACACTTTTTAAACATTTTATTTCTTAACTGACTCCCCTATAGATGTTATATGTTGTAGTTGAGATGCTATTAGATCTTGATGTATCCTCCTTTCTCTTCAATTTGGTAAAATTGGCAAATGCATTAGTTCAAATTAAGTTTATTTTTCCTCAAACTTAAGATGCTACAAACAGGAAAATAAGCTATGCTGCATTTGAACTGTTGCTGACTTGACAGGCTTGGTTTTTCGGATGAAACGGCAACATGTTGCAGCCTGCAGGCTGCACATTATCTTCGACTTCTGCAGACATTGTGAAAGTTTACAGAGCTCTCTTCAGATTCCAATGTTTCAGATCTTAGGCAAAGATGTTGATCGCTAAATATGTGTTTTATTGCTGTGGTGTAGCAGCATTTAGTTTTCAGCTGGAAGGGATTCTGTGTTACAATGTGGGCGTGTAACGGTTTCTGTCACCAAAAGCCTAGCTTTAACATAAAATCAAAACAGAGTGTAAGCTAATGTAAGGTTCAGTATTATGTTTCACTTAAATGCATTCAGATTTTATGCAGATTAACTGATTCATTAACCCCTCATCCCTTAAGAGTTTTTGGTTGTTCAAAAACATTGGTGAAATGGTTTTGACCCAGTCTCAGGTGGCCTTTGTGTCAGTAGCTTCTCTGTGGTGCATGTGTGTGTTTAAACAGTTGCCCACATGGTTTGTCCTGACACTCCCTGCTACTCTTATCAGAGTTTGTTTCAGCCACCTACACCTTACCTCACCCTTACAAACGAGCAGTCAAGCTTCGGTGGAGAGTAAACTCTCATAGAACCATGTCAAAGGCCCTTTTCCTCCCCCTCGCCTTTCAGAGAGAAGTTAGACTGGTGCATGTCTTTTGGAGAAGGGAATGTTTTGGTTTGTGAATTAATCAGTTAATTTCTCTACTTCTCTGAACTCGGTTGTTTAATTTGTGTTTATTTATAGGGTTGGCTGAAACTGGTTATCAATGAAGGGTTTTATGATATAGAGCATATTTACTTAGTATGATTGTGTTTTTTGTGTTTGTTTTGTTTTGTTGTTGAGTTGAAGAGAAAAGTAAAGGGCGTGCCTTTAGCTGTTCTTTAACATTTGCTTTCCTCTCGGTAATCCGACGTAAGTCTGAGGTGGGGCTGCATGCTCAGCTATGAATAAACCTCCCTCCTGTTGTCACTGTAAATAAGGAATAGTTCAGTTTGGCCAAACTTAAAATGTGCTGTTTAGTTGATCTATAAACATCAGTTGTATAAAATGTTATCGAAATACAGAATAAGAGCATTTAAAAAGATGACCTACATTTTTTTTCCCCCTCCAATTTTATCTTCCCCTCTTGAGCTGTAAATAATTTCATTTTTTGACCTGCTTATCTTGTTTTATTGGGACACTAATGAAAGGTATACAGCAGATCTTTTACCCATTGATCCTGGTGTTTATGTGCAACTCTTCTGCATCAGGCAATATTTTAAATGTTGTGGTTAAACTAATTCTAGCCTCTGGTTTTGAAATGAACCTAAATGCATCTAATGTAGTTTGTTCTTAGAGCCACTTTGTGTGACATTGTTTTCTTAATATGTTAATGATCTTAATTTATTTAAGTTTAGGTAAAAATATTTTATTGATGCCAAATAGAAACTAAACATGTAGTAACTCATAGGATTTTTGAAGTTCTTGTACATATCAGGCCATTCCCAGACCGGGCCAAATGCACTACCTCTTAAAAATCGAGTGTCACTCCCAGTGAAGTCTCACTCACAGCTGTGGAGGGCCCCTTGATTGAAGGTGAGGGGGGTATAAACCAGAATGGGGCGGCCTCTTCCCTCCAGTAGAAAAGGAAAGTAGTTGTTGCTATGGTAACACAGTGATGCCACATGTGCATGGCAGTAGCTCTGTGGCGCAGGTTGACATGCAATTAAAAATATTTCTTAAAAATAAATTGATACAGTTTTTTCCTTCTTTTTCCACTAATTTTTCCTTTCCTGTGGCAAAGATGCAGGAAACCAGCGAACTTACGGTAAACATTTGAATGCCAGCGTTTCCTCCTCCTTTAGATACCAGTTACACCCGCTGTCAAGAGAGCCTGCACTGATGGAGACTTGCTATTTAAGGGCTGAAGGGTCTCCTCCCCCTTCTTACTACATGGTTTGGGACAGCCCTTAATGTGGCAGAACCTCTGCACAAACAAAGTATTAGTTTAGGGTTAGTGTTTAGGAACCGGGTTGGGCTGTTAATGGCTGTTAGCAGGAAGGGTCTTCTGTGGTGGCCTGTGTGTTGCTGGATCAGGAGAAATCTTTAACTGAAGACAAACTGTTTTTTAAAAGTTTTCTGACTGGTGTTTTGAAATTTTAATTTAAATGTATTTTACCGACTATAAAATCACCTATTTTGAGCCATGAATTAAAGCAGAAGTCCAGGAGCATTTGTGAATTTGAATAGTTTTAAAGTCTTAACAACTGCAACTTTGACAAGACAGATATGTAACTCTCAGTTTTTCAAAACTGGATATATCCTCCATCTAAGCATGCAGGCAGTGAAGGACCTACCATACCTACATAATACAGCAACAAGGGGGGAAGCCTAGTGGTTTGGGCGTTGCTCTTGGGATCCTGAGGTTCTGAGTTTAAGCCCCACTCCCACAGACTGCCACTCTGGGTCTCTGAGCAAAGACCCGTAACCCCACACTGCTCCCCGGGTGGTGAACGATGACAGCCCACTGCCCAAGGGGATGGGTGAAATGTAGAGTTAATTTCTTTTAAATGTATAAATGTAAAAGGGAAATCTAAGCATTTGAAACTGTGACTGTTAAAAATGCTACCATACCTTAACTCTAACCGTGCCTGATGCTTCAATGTCTTAGCTGTGAGTCAGCAAGCTGTTTGACCATTTTGTTTTTGCAATTGAGGTTTCTTTCCAGCCTGTTGAGCCCTGAAGCGTTTTTTCTGCTCTTGTTCGCTATTTGGAACTGTCAGATAACCAGACGGTTAAGCAGCATGCCCCAACATGGACCTGGAATACTCTCCCACTGTCTAAAGACCCATCACAGATACAAGGGGTCATGTGAACCAGCCAGTCACCTTTTAAAGGTCCTTTTACATCCAGATGTTCTAAACGCCCTTTTACATACTACTGTTAGCATTTTTTTTTTAAAGGTAGTGTCAAATCTTGACAAAGGAGCCCCTGATGCTGAGCTGAAGGTTGTTGGGTCATGAATGTCAGGAGACTCTCTTTGTTCCTGGTTTATTTTTCTTTTCACATGTTTGCAAATAAGCATGTTGCTGTAATGGTTTGTTGTATATTTGTATAAAAATTCTTGATCAGATTCAATGATGGAAAATCTCTGAAATCTTAAATTCATACGAGCAGGGTTGATACACTAGAGCTTGTGCCTTTCAGAGTCGGTGTCCCTCATAAACCAAATAACTACTTAGAATAAAGGTATAAAAAATAACTTTTGTAGATAGAGGATCTGATTTCTCTCTCTAACAGCCTTTACAGCAGCTCTGTGTTATAAACAAACATGATTATATGCTGGTATTCAGGCCTGGTTGCTGTCACCATCAGAGCCGGTTAGACTTGTATGGGTTGGTTTTGTTTTTTTCCCCCCTCTTGACAGCGACTGAAGGTTGTGTAAAGAGAATCCGTGATCCTAATGATTAGTGGTGTGATCATTCCTTTCCTCAGTCTCCTCCCTCCCCTCACTCAACAAACACTGAAACCTGTTTTACATGCCCCTCTTCTGACGAGAGACATAAGTCATAATCACACAATCGCTTACATTTCTGTTCTTTTAACTCATTTGAACTCTTGCTCAATTTCAATATTGTAACATATACTTCGCAAATATACGTTTAATATTTAAATACACTAGATTATTTTAAGACCTATCATATGTTGGATGAAAAAATTAAAAAATCCGCACTTCTCTCAACTGTTTTCTTTGTGTTTTCTCATGCAGTTTCAGCAGTCTGTCTCATCAGAGGTAAAATGCCTCGGCAGAAGTTCATACACACTTTTGGTGAACGGTCCTCTCGTCATCCGACAGGCCCTTCACCCAGAAGCCTCCAAAAAGGTGAAACCTTTCTAAAAAAAAAAAATTCAACAGGGTTAGGTTTCATGTTTGAATAGTTTTGTTTATTTGAAAGATATTTTATTTCTAATAATTATGCGTTACTTGTTTAAAAAGCATATTTTTTGAAAAAAATCATGGTTCAGCCAATTATAAACCATTGCTTGTCTTTTATCTTATGCTATTTCAACTCAGCTGGTTTTATAGGGGTGTTTTAGAAACCACTTCAATTATTAAGGCATGCAAGGGTCTAAATGTGTATTTAAGGCTCCTTAGTTGCTCAGAATTTTTGAAAATGTAGGTAAATTCATTGTGTCCTAAATATTTACACCTTTATTTTTCTATAACAATATTTTTTTGCCTTTCTGTTTAGAATCTTGTGCTACCAGATTGTTTCTTTTCATTTTTGGACTTGCGAAAAGAGTTTCACAAATGCTGCCCAAATGCCGGTGCAACGCAGAAGCTCACACTGGCATCCATGTTGGACTGTATCCTTTATATGACAAACATATTGTACTGCAAAGAAATGTTAACAGTTTGTTTGAAGTTGTAAATGTAAAACGGAAGAATCCAATTTGTATAAATGCTGATATCTTTAATGGTGAGCACAGATGTTGGTCTTCCTGCTTTGTCGGAGCAGACGATCGGTGTGAAGGAGGTTAACAGCATGGTGCAGCTGATGCTCTGCATGCTGGCTGAGCCATATAGTAAGTAGATGCTGAAATATTACAGTCATCCACTGCCAGTTTAATAGTCTGGAGTAACATTCTCTGATAATGGGAGGAATATGTTGCTTCGATAAGTTACTATACGGATAATCCAACCTGCACCATGAAGACTAGGTGTCACATTAGGGTTTGTAACCATGGTAGACATCTTCAATAGTTACCTCTGCTAGTTACCTTTACTAACTCATTTTCTTAGCCTGTTAAATCCAAAAATACATAAAAAATATTTTCTTTCTTAGATCACAAATTCTCCTGTGTTGAAACGGTGAACTACAAGTTTGACTCCGGTACATGGTATGTAAACCACATTTTTAAATGAATGCATGTATTTCAAAATATATTTGTGCCGTTAGCACAACTGTTGGGTAAGAGTATTGCTTAAAGACTAATACCCCCCCACCCCCGCACACACACAGACATGCACACAACTCCCGTTGTCTTTAAATCTCAGACCTTGGGCCGAAAGCATTCATTACAGCAACAAGGAAAACACGAGTGTGTCATTAGAGCGGTCCAACTTTGCCATCAAGTGCTTACCTGGATATTCAGTAGCTAAGCAGTAGATCCTGATCTTCTCAGACAGCCAAGAGCCTATCACTTTAACCCTCTGACATTTAACCAAAGGAGTGTTACTGTGTTCAGCACTTAGTGGAAAAGGCCCTGTTTCTGCAGTTTGTGGATGATTAGTTTAACTGTGCATCACTGGGGAGAAACTTTAGTCATGTGTAAAAACACCAGGAAGATAGAATAGAATAGAAAATCACTTTATTGTCCCACAGTGGGGAAATTGTGGTGCTACAGTAGCAAAAGATTATAGCAGAAGTAGGCACGCAAATGTGGACCTTAAAAAAGTGTATAAATATAACAGAATAAGTGCCAAAATTAAGAAAATAAACAAATAAGATAATGTACAGTGTTTTTACAATATAAATACTGTGCTACTGCAGAATAGATAATCAATATACAGCAAAAAATATCTATTACTGTAAGAATATCCACAGCTCTATCAGCTCTTATTAGTTTTTATCACCAGTGCTCAATTTTTTATATATATATATTTTTTTCTCATATCTATATATTTTGTGTTTTTTTTTTCTGCAGCAGTAAAACTGAGCCAGTGGACAGTGAGATGGTGATCAGAGCAAGGGGGCTGCCATGGCAGTCCTCAGACCAGGATATTGCTCGCTTCTTTAAGGGACTCAATATTGCCAAGTATGTTGACCTCGCTGGTATCTCCTCACACCTCTATTACAAAAATTACATGATTTGATCATTATGAAAATGGAACACTGAGGTTTTTGGTCATAAAGAAGAATCGATTGTTACAGTGCTTCTACAACATATTCATTTTTATCTAGTGGTTTATGCTTTTCATTATCAAATATGTATTCTGATCATTAAAACAAATCAGATTTCCATTGCAGATTTCAATAAACTCCTCCTACTTATTCTGCTTTGTTTGTATTTGGGTATCTTAGGAAGCCTAAAAGAGTTAATCTGTTAATGCTGGATGGAAAAAAATTCTATAAAGTTAATTGTTGTTGGTTAATATGAGGTCAGCGGAGAGAGAAGACCATCCTAATGCAGAGATATTGAAGTTGGCTTGTTAATTATTTGGAGATTTCATTGAGGTGTCTCTTTTCTTCTCAGGGGCGGTGTGGCCCTTTGCCTGAATGCTCAGGGCCGGAGGAACGGAGAAGCTTTGGTTCGTTTCATCAACTCTGAGCACAGAGACCTGGCTTTGGAGCGCCACAAACATCACATGGGCAGCCGATACATCGAAGTTAGTTTGATCACTGTCATGCCAACTTGCACTTTAATTTTTAGTCTCTAGTTTCCATAAGTACTAGCTTAACAGCTAATCAGGTGGCAGCTTTTTTTTATATTGATGTGTTATATCTGAGCACTTTCAGGTAAAATGCACAGGCATTTTTATTTTTATGTAATTATTTATGTTTTCTTTGTAATTTAGGTCTACAAAGCAACAGGAGAGGAATTTCTCAAGATTGCTGGAGGTCAGATTTCATGTTTTCTGTTTTTCCTCACATTCTGTTTTGGCATAAAAGGTTAATCAAAGATGTTTCGTTAGCTTGATTAAAATATGTTTTTAGTTTGTCAGACTTTCTTATCCCATCCCCAGAGGAGTGTAAAGTTGAGGCTCTTTAGTGCATAGTGGCTCTATCTCCGATTACCTGTTCCTGCTTCACTCCAGTGAATCTCTGGCTGCATATCTCTGTCTAATGAAAGGCACTTTGTGGCCAATGCACTCCCCCTATGCCCACCAACACCAGCCCCTCTGAGGCCAGTTGCAAAGAAATGTCGGGATCTGAGCAGCTCACCTGTTCAGTTCCGCTTTTGTTGGACTCCCGTGAGGCAGAGAGGGTGGGTGCCTGCTGAAAGGACAGAGTGGCTGCTGTTACAAAAGGGGTGTGAAAAGACAAAGCAGGACCTGTGGCCCCCTGACCATCGAACAGCGGCCAGTAATCGTACATGACAGAGATAGGAGACACACTAACTCTCTGCACATAGCTTGCAGTGGCTGCTAGCCAAGACCTGGACTTTACACAGATGAGTGAGGATCAATACAGGTCGAAAACTTGCAGGACTTTAAGCAAATAAATCAGACAACAAGGAGACTTTTTATTTAGTCTCAGTGAAAGCTGTAAGCAAAAACAAATCACATGGTTTCTAATATTTCATAACTTCTGTTCAGTAAATAGTTGAGGTTATCATTTAAAATACTTCTTTATTGCGTTTAAGTTGAAGTCATAAAAATAATGATAGTAATGTCTGCGTATGCAAGACTTCTACTTTAAGTAAATGACAAGCAAAATTAATGTTCCATGCTGATGTATATTGATGAATAAATGTTGATCCTATTTACTGTTAGATGATTAAGACCTAAAATCATTTGGTATCTTTAATTTTATTTCTATTTTTTGGATAAAGGTTGATTAACATGGGTATACCTGTTAGTGGGATGTCTATTCTCAACATAAGACTTTTGATACAAAATTTTATTCAAGTTACTTAATTTAAAAATATCCAGTGTTGGGTTGAGTTTTCTTTTTTTTTTCTTTTTTTTTTGCATTAGGAACACGATCCATAACAGGAAATAAACAAACCAAATGCAAATTAATTTTAATGAGGGTCTGTGAATAAAGCATGGTGTTGGATCCTAAGCAGTTGAGGTGCATCCGTGCAAACTTTTATGGATAGCTGCCAGTTTCCTTGTGACTAAACACCAATTTACATCTTACTGCTTTGCAGGAGACAGGATGCAAACATTTGGGTTGAAGTTCACAGCATATTTAAGTTCCATTCATTGTTTTGAACTAAACATATCTGACATAAGGAAAATAAAATGATACTTTTATACATTAAGAAATTTAAATCTGCCCCACAGTGCAGGTTATTTGTTGATGTTTATCTAAAATAATCAATCAAGTTGGTAAGATTATAATAATGGTGTATATTCCACATAAATATTGTCTATAATCTAATCTATCTACCTTTAACATATCGTTTAGGGACATCAAATGAGGTGGCACAGTTCCTGTCCAAAGAGAACCAGGTGATTATACGAATGCGTGGCTTACCGTTCACAGCCACCACGCAGGAGGTGCTGTCCTTCCTCGGACCTGAAAGTCCCGTCACAGATGGCGCAGAGGGACTGCTTTTTGTCAAGTATCCGGACGGACGGCCCACTGGAGATGCATTCGTGCTTTTCTCCTGTGAAGAATACGCTCAGAACGCACTTAAGAAGCACAAACAGATCCTGGGAAAGCGGTACATCGAGCTGTTTCGGAGCACTGCAGCAGAGGTGCAACAGGTATGTTTTTTGGGGGTTTTTTCTTATTCCTTTTTGTATGCTTAAAAGCTTAGTTTATTTTTTAAACATACATGGAAACTGGAACTTTCTGAAAATTCTCACATGTGAGGCTAAAAAAATTATGCAAGAAATGCTGATTGGGAAACTTCTACTGGAATTGAAGCTACTGGTTCTAGTGGGTCTGTTATAATGTATTAAATTCTCATGAAAGGTTATATCCCAATGAGTGAGTGGGAGAATCATGAACAAGATAAGTCAATATAGCCGTCTGCAGACAGAGGAGCCATTTGGTGCCAGGACAGCGTGGTTTTAGACCTCACTTTGGAAAGGCACATTAAATGTGGCCCATGCTGATGGAAGGGTTTGGGATGGAAGGGATGGAAACTTCTGGAAAAGAAAACAAGTAACAACAAAAACATTAGTAAACCTATATTTAGCACACAGCTCTTATATTTAATGTTTACTTTAAGGGGAACTTTGTTCGGAAATGGGGAAAATTAAAGTAATTTAAAGGGTTTTTAATTTTAGAACACCAGGGGCCTTATAGAAATGTCAGTGGTTTTCATACTAAAACATGCTAAACATCAAGAACAGGATTTTGGAATTGTGTTAACCCATCACTGCATGAAGTTTTGAATAATTTTTGAACCACATTATTTAAACTAAACGGAGAGATAAAATAATAATTGTCGATAAAAAGAACCTTGGTTGCCATTCAGAGTCTCACTATCTGAACTTAACACGTTAATCACTATTTAAAGTGAGCGTTTAAATGGATAGGATACAGTTTTATTGTTTTATTTAACCAAAAAATGACTTTTTGAGATAAAGCTCTTTCACAAGAATGTTTGACTAAGACGTCAACACAAGCGAAACCAGCAGCTTCCCCAATTTTTGAAAGGTTGATGTCATGGGAACAGAGAGAAGTCAGAAAACATCCCTAAACATGCTGCTTTTATTTCATGTTACGTGTGCTTTCTTAAACTATTTCTCCGTCTTAGATGTTTGGTCACGGCTATATTTTCCTTTTTTACTGAAGGGTTATTTATCAAATCATATTGTGTTTTATCAGGTTCTCAACCGTTATATGTCCACACCTCTGATCTCCACGCTGCCCCCTGCACCCATCGTACCAGTCTCAGTCCTCCCAACGACCCCCTTCCTGCCAGCGGCCAGCAGCAGCCGCGACTGCGTGCGTCTCCGCGGTCTGCCGTACACCGCCGGCATCGAAGACATCCTGGAGTTCATGGGGGAGCATACCGCTGACATCAAACCCCATGGAGTCCACATGGTCCTTAACCAGCAGGTCAGAGCGCTTTGATCACACAGGACCAGTGGAAACGAGAAGCTCGGCTTTTAAAATCTGTGGTTAAAAACACGTAGATAGGTTGAGCCTTAACTGAATTGTGATGGTTCGGTGATTTCCACCTTTGCAGGGCCGACCCTCTGGAGACGCTTTCATCCAAATGAAGTCACCTGACAAGGCTTTCTTGGTGGCCCAAAAGTGCCACAAAAAGACGATGAAGGACCGGTATGTCGAGGTCTTCCAGTGCTCCACAGAGGAGATGAGTATTGTTCTGATGGGAGGGACCCTGAACCGCAGCGGCCTTTCTCCACCTCCCTGCAAGCTTCCCTGTGAGTTATCACTGACTTCCTGGTTGTTTGTTGAGGATTAGAATATTGAATTAATTAACATCCGAATCAAGAGTCAGTTTTCACTCAGTCTGGCTTCTGTCATGATGACAATGAATGGGTCTAAAGTATTTGTTAAGAATCGGGTTCCAGCCAGTTTGACTGTTTTGATAAAGTGTTTTCCTGAATAATATTGGTGCATCTCCTCAGTCTGCGGGTGGAAACATTCCTGCTTTTGAAATAACTTTATGTGCACAATCATGGGTATAATACTAATCAACTGGGAAAGCTTTAGCCTTCATGAGGTCACTGACCTGCCCACAGCCTGGAGTAGAGGCAGTATTTAATGTAAATGCGTTCAGATGTTTGTGTGTTTATATTGTTAGTATGAGGGCACACTGTTGGTGTTGTAAATACGCTTCTACAATGACATGAATTTCCTCAGTTTATTCAACTTAAAATGCATTCAAAACAAATATCTATGAACTAAACGTGTAGTGATATAAAAGTAGAAATTGTTGCAGAAGTTTAAAATTTTTCAAAGGTTTTAAAACATGCTTAAACTTTCAAACTTCCTATTAGTTTCGACTGCATTCGAAGCTCTTCTTTATATATTTCTTAGTTCTCTGGGATGCATTTACACAGATTAAACAATGGTTCACCTTTCTAAGATTTTAAGTAAAGATAATTGTTTCTTAGCTTGTGATCAGTGACCAAATCAAGCATAGGATTAAGTTTAAGTTGGCTAAATGGAAAAAAAAAAAAAACATGCTTGAAAAAGTAAAATGAGAATTTCAAATACAACATGGCTTCCCTGGTTGCTATTCATGGATCACCATAGTTAATGACTCCCTTGTTTCAGAACCTTCTTTATAAAAGATGCATTGATGATGAAGAGCAGCAGCTGAATTCTCTTTGTAATCTGAAACAATCAGCAAGAGGGTGAAACTAGGGTGTGGTTCGAGGAGGACGCCTAACCCAACGCAAAGATGACTGTCTGCCAGCTGAGCAAGCGTTCTAGTGGAGTAAAGAAAAAAAAACAAAACAAAGCATCTCCAGAAAACACAGACATGTCTGTAAGAGCACCTTAATGCTACTAAAACTGATTGTAGGAGAGACTGAAAAACTGGAGGGATTTATTCCCATCTGTAAAAAGTTTGTAAACCTCACCCTATTGTCTGAGCATTGGTACTCGGCTTGTTGACATGTCATTACATTTGATACATACCACAAATTCCTTTGAGATTCATTAAACACAGCAACATATTGTCGGTAAATTCAAAGAAATGGTTTGCTGTTGGGAAAACCAAAAGTTTGCCTTCTCAGAATTTCATCTAGAATTTTTTTATTTAATCTGTAAAGGGAAATTTTGGACCATTAAGAAAAAAATCCAGTCCTGTTCCTCCCTATCCAAGGTTAAATCTTGATTGCGATTTAGTCTCTAGTTGTGGACTGTCTTCACTTGAGGAATGTGATAGTTGTAACCTATCTTATCTTGTTGATATATCTCTGTGTTGGAAGGCAACTCTTCTTCTCCTTGCACTCACCTGCTTGCATACAGCACATTTTTATGTGCCTCTTGAGGCACACCCTCCATGATGATGATAGGGGTGTGGGTGGGGGGGTTAACTGCTGGACAGCTGTCAGGTCAACAGTCTTCTCTGCGATAACTCATAATATTATACATTTATTTAAAAATCTGTCTTTTATAAAATGAAGAGGGTTGTTTCAAAATGAATGAACCTTCTCCATAATATAGTAGTTTATTATGCGGTACCTGTGCACTAATTCTGTCTGAACCATCTTCCTGTAGGTCTGTCTCCTCCCACAGCCTACGCTGCCTACCCCACTCCTCCAGCCATCCTCTCTGAGGCTGCCCTGTACCAGCCCCCTTTATTGGCTGCTCCCAGACCTCAGACCACTGTGCACAGCCCTGCTCACGCTCTGGCCTACTACCCACCTCAGCCACATCTCTATATGAACATGAACATGAACTACACTGCTTACTACCCCAGGTCAGCTTCACATCTGCTGTTAGAAACAGGGCAGGTTTAGAAGGTACAGTTATCTAACTCTTCACCTCTGTTCGTCTTCTAGCCCCCCAGTCTCTCCCTCCACAGTCGGATACTTTGCAGCTCCACCAGGAGCCATGGCGGCCGCGAGCCTGGCAGCCCAGGCTCACCCTGCTGCAGCCGCTGCCTCCTCTGTGCTGCCTCAGCCAGGTTCGCTGGTCAGGATGCAGGGTCTACCATTCAACACGGGAGTGAAAGACATCCTCAGCTTCTTCCAGGGATATCAGGTGAGAGGAACCAGTACTAAGACCAGAAAAAAAGATAACTGGAAATATACTTATGAGTATTTGTGCCAAATATTTTTTTTTGGCAAGAATTGTTCAGCTTTGTGTCCTCAGAACAAAATCAAACTGGTATTTAGTGAATCTTATTTTTTCTGTATTTTTTTTTAAAAACTGCAGCTAAATGCAGTCACGCTTCTGTTGCACCACAAAACAGAAACTGTTCACTAATTTTCCTGCAAAACCCCGGAACCATATTGTTTCATTAAGTTACATTTGTTCACTGTGCTCTTCCACTCCTCTTTGCTGCAATACTTATTGCTGCCAGCCTGAATTAGATGGCGTCCCCTGATGCAGGTATGACATGACAGGTGCGGCTTTACTTAGTTCATGTGAGGCGAGTGGTGGGTTTGAGATAAGGGCAGGTTCTGGTTCTGCTGTTTGACATTGGGGCAGATGCTTTGGTTCTGCTTCTGGTCTTCCTTTCATTGAATGCTGGAAACGCCTTGTTAGCAGGAGTGTGTATGTGTGTGAGCAAGTAGAACTCTGACCCCAACAAGGAAGTGATTTAAAGATGCATCTGGAGAGATATAGGTATGCTTTGTGTGTTTATGAGAGCTGATTTTCATTGTTTGTTGAACCATTCATTTTGTGATGTCACACACGGGTCCTCAGGAGGAAAACTTTCTTATTAGTAGAGATTCTGTCATCTGGTTTCATTGTGTATTCTGTGATATGTATTTTTGTGTGTTTCTTTTTTTGTCCTCTTTCTACACTTCTGTATCTTTTTGTTTGGGTTGGAAAATGTTTATTGTAATGTGTTACATAATGTTGAGGCCTCTCCAGCCTGACCGTGTGTTCATCGTTGTACTGTATCTATAGTACGCCCCTGACGAGTACAGCGGTGTGGTTCAGATGAACGAACAGGCCAGGAGTCTGATTCAGCCCAAAGAATGGCTCTGCCTTTAGGGACTCACCCCAAGGTAAGAAGGAGCAGGGAGGCAGAGTGGAGATGGGGTGCTTCCTTCACTACAGTCTCAAGCATGTGGGAAGAAAATCTTAGCACAAACTGGCTAATGCTATTTAAACCATAATACTTGGCAAAAGTGTTCTTACATCTTGAAGACTTTCTTGTTAATCACATTACAGCCACAAACGTTAATGTATTTTTGACAACTCTAATGTGCTAAGCTCATACAAAGTAGGTCATGTATGTAAAGTGGAAAAAAAAAACATTCCTGAGGGAAATATGAAGTACTATTTCACTGAGGAACTCCTAAATGGCCTATTACTATTTAGATGCTGTCAGCTTCAAACAGTTAAGACTCAAATCATATTTAACGGCGATTTAAATGCAACAGCTGATCTGAGACAGTTAGGTTAAATTCAGAAAATGTTTTTCTCCCTACATCATTTCAGACCCATCTTCAAATTCTCAAATTTGAATTTAAAAACAGCATTTTAAAAAGCACACAGCAGACATGTAGGTCAAAGAGAGCATCAATCAGAGAAGCAGCTAAGTGATGCTAACTCAAGAGGAACAGCTGATATCTACAGTAAGAGGTTGATGGGAAACCTTCTTCCAAACATTCTACAGATCTGGCCTTTATTAAAAATGAGCAAAAGGAAATGGAAAAGAATATAAAATCCTATATAGAAAAAAGAAAATTACTTTTCCTCAATGGGGAAATTGTTTACAGCTGCCAAAAGATTATATAAAAAAAATTGTCACAAATGTGCACCTTAGAAAAATGTATAAGAATAACACAGTTAAGAATAACAGTTGAAAAATAAACAATAAAATACTGCAGTGTAAAGTGTTTTAAGAATATAAAACTGTTCACCTTTAGAATAAATAACCAATATACAGCTATGGACATTTGTACAGTAATGGATATTTGAAAATAGCAGCAACATCAGAGATGTGCAAAATGACAGCAGCATGTTAATTTAACTGACTATCACAAGAATAATTATAGGAAAGCCATTTGCCATGGGGTGGGGGATCAGAAGAAGACAAAATGTGTGGTTTTTTTTTTTTTTTTTCATCTACGTAAAAAATCTTTTAAGGGAGGAGGGAAAAGGCCTCACTGTGATATGGTAGTGCCAGTATTATGCTGAGGGGATGTTTTTTTTTTTTTTTTTTCTTGGACAAGAACAGGGAATCTTATCAGAGAAGAAAACCCAGACCTCTAATCCGGTTAAAAAGTTTTTGGAATACTGGAAAATTGTTAAAAGATCTTTGACCTATCAGACTGATTTTGAGCTCTATTTGCAACGACAGAAGTGCAACTGTTTCAGTTTGTAGAATTTTAAAGCTGATAGAGACTGACCCAAACTTAAAAAGAGCAAAATAATATTTTTATTTGTGTATTTTCCTATTTTAGTTCCAACTAACGATTATTTAGTGATAAATCTGTCAATTACTTTTTTCAATGAATGAATGAGTAATCGGGTAGCCAAAGGCTCCTTTTAAAGAAGATTTTTTTGGGGGGAATTAAACCAGGTTAAACTAAAATTTCTGGATAGTGCATATTTACATAAAAATGTTTTATTTATTTTTTTTTTTATCTTATAAGCAAAATGTTTTTATAATTTTGATATAATCAGAGCTCTAAGTGGGTCACTCTGTCAGCTAAAGGCACGTTTTAATCTCTACACTCCAGTTAACGATTAATCGATTACTAATTTAGTTTACGATTATTTCAATAATCGATAAATCATGATTAATCCGATTAATTGTTTTAGCCCTAATTACAGCTAAACACTACTAGAAGTAAAGTAGCACTAAAAACATTGACGTTTCTGACTGTCCTGATAAAAACTGGGTTTTGAACACTTTTGCAATGAACTATTTTCATTATAATGTATGTTTGGTAGCTACTGAAGAGGGGATTAGCTGTTCTGCATGCTCTATATATGCCTAATGCTTTTCTTTACCATTAACAAACATTGTATTTATATTTTCATCTTAACATCTTTTCTTGATCTGATTTGCATGACAACTAACTTTAATTTCAAAAATCCAATCTGACTTTCTAAGTAATTTTGTTTGGGTTATTTTGCAGACACATCAATAAGAAAACAGATAAACATTTCATCAAATGACTGAGCTATTGCTTTGTCTCAAAGGATGTCCTTTTTTTCTTTTTTTAAGCCCTGAATTAGAAGAACCTCCTTTAAATTCTCAAATGCCTGCCGCATTTGAGAATTTAAAATGTCGGTGATGGTTAGTCGTTTATTTTTGTACCCTTTAGGCACAGCTGTGTCCCAAGAATAGGAAGAATATCTAATATGTTTCTAGTCTGTGGTGGTTTTTGAATTCTTGGTAAAGTTCAGGTCATATTTTCCTGGTATTGTAGGAGATTTAACCACTTCTTTTTTTTTTTTTAACCATATTTGGCAAGTTGGTAAAAGTTAGCAGGAATGACAAAAACTTGTCATCTTTAGAAGTTCCACAAAACACAAGAAAATGTTGGAAGGGATGCGTCTGTGTCTTATTCAGTGAAACAATTGATCATAAGCAGTAATTTTGTGTCTACTTCACTGATATGCTTTCCTTACTCCACAGTTTTCTGGATTTTTCTGCTGCTCTGCTTTTTTATGTTTTCTTGTGTTATTTTGAATTGGATTGTGTGTGAAGTTCGGTAGAGGATTTCAGTGCATGTAGACTAAAAGCTGCTTGTTGTCTTGTTGGTTTCAGGTGTATGAGAACAGCATGTCCTCTGTTTTCACCTTTAACTCTTCTCTCTAATCTCTGCTTTTGGAACTGGACTGGTTTGATGAGCTGATCTAACACCATTCTTCCTCAGTTGGTTGAGGGCTCCCTCTAGTGGTTTCCCTTCACATTACATGAGACTGCAGTCACTCACTGTTCCTTTTTGTGTTTGTTTTCTGTCTTCTGTAGCTCCAACAAGATGCTGTACTTATTTTGCATAACTTTAGTGGTCAGTGCAGCGGCGAGGCCTTGATCACCTTCCCCAACGAGGACATTGCACGGCGTGCGGTAGCTGAGCGCTCAAACCATCCCTTCTACGGCCAGCAAATCCACCTGGCTTTCTGTAACTGACCGCCGGCCCTCCATCTCTCCCCACCACGCCAAATCCTTCAGAAAGTGCTCCAACTCCAGTGTATTCCAACTCTTTACAGAGCATCTACCAACCTCTTCCCTCTCTGTATGACCTGACACTCCAGAGCCTGAAGCAGCGAAACGTTGGGAACATGACTCTGGGAAGAAGTGGGTCGTATCCTGGACTGACCATGCACCCACTCTCTATAGCCAAACTTACAGATGCATGTCTTCTCATACAAACTGTACAGACCTGTGTCCTGAAATGCTTGAGGCTGTAAATATACAAATATACACTGTTTGTCTGGGTGTATCTGAAATGCCACTCTTTAACCACCCACAGAATTTAGACTTTTGTGTTTATGAATATTTTTTGTTAGCTCAGTGAAAAAGGAAAAGCTGTGTGGAGGTTTGGCATTCAGCCTCCAGTGTTTTAGTTGTGACATAAGAGATAAAAGCCATATAAGGAATACTTTATACTACTGAGAGCAAAGTGAATTAGTATGCTATGATTTCAGCTATAACTAGTTTCAGGGACTTAGTTTGTACCACTTAATATGTCAGTGTATGAATTTTTTTGTTTGAAAGCATTTGTATTCTGATGACCAGCGTGTCCCTTCCATTGAAGCATTTTGTAAGCACTACAGATTCAGCCATTTGCTCACAAGGGCAGATATTATAAGCTGTGCATCTTTAGCATTATTGCAATAAATTTGTTCTAATTTTATCGATGCAGCTTATTTACAAAAGCAGACATTTTGTTAAGTGTAAAACAACATATGCTTTGCTTCCTGAAATTTTTTTATGTAATGATCGACTCACAGCTGCTGCTTATTTAAGATGATAGCAACCAGTCTGCAGCACGATTTAAATCCTGTGAACAAGCAGTGCCATGGAAAGCTGCACCATGCTTTTTGTTTTGTTTTTTGTTTTCTCAGACAAAGGCCTGCAGAAGGTGTCTTAGTTTTCCTCCTTACCAAGTCTACATTACCCAGAGTGCAATACAGGCCTATAGGAGGCATGAGCTGGGCTCTGGTGGCAGATGAGTTATTTGTTTTCTTGCAAGTTCAGGATGTATGAATTTAGATCTGTGTATTGAATGTAAACAATAAAAATGTCAACAAATAGAAACATATCAGTTGTTTTCTTAACAGTGAAGAGGTTTCATATATTAAAGTCCCAAGTTCTTTTTATGGATTTTCTTGTTGAATTGTGCAGATTTGGTTGGTTTCAAAGCATTTCGGCTAATTGGAAGTTTGAACAGGTGCCTATTTTGTTAAATATGCTCAAGTTTATTTATACAAATGTTTACCAAAGTTTTTGAAGATTTCTACTATGAAATATTTCTTTAAAACAGCCGTTTATAATGTAACCATGCTGTGACCCCTGAGCAACAGCATAGTTCACTTGATCAGTTGTTCTTTATGTCCTTCAAGTTTTCCTTTGAACTTGGACCTGTTTTAGTATTGACTTGCTGTTAAGGCCCGAAGCACAACAGCCTTCTCTGCTCATTGCATGCTTGGACAAAAACAAAATCTCCTGAGTTTAGAATTATATTATTAATAATTTAGATCAGAAGTGCTTGTTGGTTGAAATACTGCATCACTGCAGCAATCGGCTTGTACCAGTTTTAAAACTCATCTGCTTCATCTGTCTTTTGATCTGGCGTCAAAAGACTCTATGGCAGCGGTCACCAACCTTTTTACAGTTGAGGGCTAATTCAGTCACAGGAATGGCTACCAATACTGACCCATGAATTGCAAGGGTCAATGTTCACCTAAACTTCAGACATTATATACACATCTTTATCGTATCTTGAAATTTCTAATTTTATTTTAGACATTTTCATTTTGAAATCTCTATAAATGCTTAAATGCCATATATGATTAAATGATGAAATGTTCTATAACTGATTTAAAAAAAGAAGAGCAACAGAATACAAACAAATTTCAAACGTATCTGAGTTGTTCTATTTTCAGAAGACTCTAAAGGCACCCCTTGTTGTCCTTCAGGGCCCCATGTTGGTGACCCCTGCTCTATGGGCTTTAGGTTGTAGAAGTTTCCACATTCCACATCTATTTCAGCCTTGTTTAAACTGTGTTGTTTTCCCTCTTTCTCCCCCGTGGTTTCCATTGTCTACCAAAGTCTACCATAAAACAACTTTGACCAGCAGATTTATTTTTAAATATAAAATTGCATTTATACAGTGCTTTGCATATCTCACCTATGGTTAAATATGGGCGTGTTAAGGGATGCAATTGTGTGTCATCATGGTTTGCTCAATCTAAAAATATCTTTTACATACACTATTTTGGTGTTTGCTTTCTGGTGTATTTACACCTTTAGTACTGAATAAGACATCTATTTTTATTTTTAAAAATGGAACAGGTTATTTTTTTTTTTTTTCAAGGGATAGTTGTTAAAACCTACAGCAACCTTAGTCGCCTGGACCAATTTTAATTTAACCTTTGTGATAAACAATGATGTGAAAATGAAAGCTGTTTGAACTTAAGAAAAAAAGTATCACCGTTTCCTACAGCTCAAGAGATGTTTAATATATCATACTATTAATCATTGCCCTGTTTAATGGGCCGTTCTAGAATGGGGCCCCTGTACTGAAAACACAGCAAAAATGTAAATATTTTTACAGTTTTTGCTGTGTAATACATTTCCCTTTATTTAAGTAGGTGAGACAATTTGCATATGGAATAAGATGATTTATATCTTAAATGAGGAAAAAAAAATCATCCTAATTGAAGTGCACAATATTTAATTTATTTAGAGGGCAGAAATACCTATGCCTCTGGAAGATCATCTTATTTACCTGCTTTATTTAATGGCAAATGCACTTATTTTAAGGTTTACTTTTTTTTTGCAGTGTAATACTAAATAAATTTTTAAAACATGATCTGTTTGTTATTCTCATGTTCTGTACCTACATTAAAAAATACTCGTGCTCCACCCTGGTAGATTCATTGTAGGACTATCCTGTTTTGTTTGTTGTGAGCTATTAAAATAATCCAGGACCCCTCTCTGAATTTGGTCTGGAACTGCCACTAGATATCAGTACTTTTGATGCAAGCAGGTCCTGCTAATAACGTCATATTAACACTTTTAAACAGCTTATCAGCAGAAGGAAGCACAGAGCAATCCAGCCCTTCCTGTTAGCAGGCACTGTTACCTGAATTTGAGAAGGAACCGCACCAAACTGTAGGATTTGTGCTGTAGGACCATAAATTCAAAATCAGATGTAAAATTGGACTTCGTCTGAGATCTAAAAAGATTTTAGACTATTGAGAAGCAACTGAGACTTTCTATGCCCTATTGCTGAGGTAAGATCTGTGGTGAAGCACCAGAAATATGAAAGTGGGTTCTAATATCCTTCCCTCCTGATCAGTGCTTGTTTTGTCTTCTTTAAAACAAAAGCTATGCTGCAGATGTAGCTCATGGTACATCATGGTGTGGTGTCCTTTGAGGTAAAGTCTTAAGTAACCCCCCCAAACTCTTGAATATGCTTTGATTCTAAATGATTTTAAGGCAGTAGAGTCTTTGTTGCTTTATGCACCTTTACCTGAATGTTTTTCCTCCACTAAACTTTCTCATATGTTCGAATACAGCACTCTGCAAACAGCCAGCTCCTTTAGTATTCATTATGTGGCCTATCCTGCTTGTGGGAAGACAAGGTGAACCTTTGCTGGATATTTGTTAAGTTGCCAGTTGTGCCCATGATAATAAAGGTACTAATAATAAGATGTCTGTATTAAAATCAGTCTTGTTTTGTTAGATAATATCAAAATGTTCAGAGGGACATTCTCAGTTTTAGTCTGTGCTAGAATACGGTTTGTATGGACCAGTTTCCTTTGTTCTTTATTGTTATTATTGGTTAAGAATTAAAAAGCAGTCACCATTAGTTGATTTGAAGTAATTAGAATATTACTTTAGTAAGTTTCAAGTTCTTTCAGTGAAAGTTGTGGGTTTTATGGACAGAAAAATGTGCCGACTGATTAAGGCAAGCAGTCATTAAGATTCCTGATTCCTTTTCCATTTAGGTTGAGAAATTATGTGTTAAACCAGAAGAAATGAAAGAAAAAAAAACAGCTTTTAGGGAAAAATAGTTAACACAGACCCATAAGTGAGTTTTTTTTTGTTTTATTGAGATACACTACATTAGAGCCTACAGTATGATGCAAGGTATCATCCATTCCCTTTGAATAATTTCAGAAAAAAGCACTGCAGTCTTAAAAATTACAAAACATTTAACATACAAAATATACAAGAAATGACAATACGAGGCTTGGTAAACATCAGCTAAACCTGTATTTCCCTTTTATCTTACAAAGTGTTTATATATATATGTATGTATATATATATATATATATATATATATATATATATATATATATATATATATAAAATTAGTTTCAAGAGACACCTATTTATGTCTTTAACCTCTTAGGAATGACATCCATTTTATCTGAACGTATCAAAAATAGAGTTGTACAGTCTTTGCAGCCTCACTATCATCTAAAATAGGAACAAGTTGTTTGATCTTTGGTTGCCACAGAAAGGAACAGTAGCCAGTGTTCAGAGTTTATTGTCAATGCTGGTTTTATTCTTTATTTTTTCATGCTGGGGCTTCAAGTCTCTTAAGCTGCAGAATTGACTTTCAAAGAAAAAAAAACATCCCTCAGTTTTCTCGTCCAACCTGTGAACCTGAAATGTATACCTGTTATTGACCAGGTTCAGTCGATTTGGGGAAGAAAGGGATAAACTCAGAACAGCATTCACACCAACTGGTTTAAAAACAGGAGTTAAGGCATCCTAACAGTTCACATGACTTGATGATATTCTCCTATTTTGGGAGTTTATGCTTCTCTCTTTGAAAAATAAAAGCTATTGTTACAGAGCCTAATATTTGACGTCATGTTATCCCTTGCATAGCCTAAATGTGTGCTTCTGTGGTTGGAAAGTTCTCCTATGTACAAGAAATTTGGTTCAAACAGCTACCTTCCATCCTCTACGCACAACTGAGTCGAGATGCTTACACTGTATCCTCCTTTCAAGCATCTACAAGTCTACAATATACGTCTAGAGGCATCAAGGTCATTTTTTTCTGTCTTTTTTATTATTTTAAAAGGCATTAAGCAGAATATAAATGCATAGCAGAATCATTTTCACCTGAAAACTGGCTTCAAATCACCATCCATCTTAAGGCAAACATAAAAATCAGTGGAAATCATCAAACCAGCATCCAGATGGTTCTGTCTGCGTCGTCCATCTCTGAACACGTTTTTCCTGGAGTATGACTTATTGCTGCCATACAGGCACCGCTTAATTGCTCTAGCTGGGGGGAAAATAGGAGCAAATCCTCGTGCATAAAAGTCATTTTGGAAACTACAATAATGGGGGGGAAAAAATCATTAGACAACCCTTTCTTTGTTGTCATGTTCAAACCTTTGGAAAAAGGACAAGGATGGTCTAGTCATTTTTTTTTTTTCTTCCATGCTTGTATGTAAAAGAACCATTTGATTGTGAAGAGCAAACATTGATTGTTGCAAAGCAGAATTGTAAGGAAGACCCCAAACGTCCAGATTTTGCTCTCTGGATTCTAGGATTTTAAATTGTTCTTTACAAATGAGGACGCTACATAAATACAATATACAGACATCTTTATGTATAAAATACTTTCACAATATTTCTCAGAACATTTTTCCATCAAGGCCTGAGCAGGCTGTCATATGAAAGCATGGTGTGTGTCAGGAAATCAAAGGCACATTTTTTTGGGGGGGGGGGGCATAAATAGGTGTTAGTAGCAGAGAGCTCTATCTCCGAGGACCAACATAAGAAACACACCTCTAGGAGTTTTCAAATAAAACCCAAACTAAATAACTTTGTGGTGAAATCAAAAATCATTGTTAAAAAAAAAACGATGCACTCTTGAGTCTGTGAGAACAAAACAAAAAGCTTCTGCTACTGTTCAGAGCTGCTAAACTTTAATAAGGCATTTGTTCAAAGGAAAAACGGAGAGCTCTAATGGAGTAATATGGGCTGCGTTAATGTACAGAGGACTACACAGCTGCAGGTCTGTGGAATGTTGCATTTTGCAGAATAAAAACTAGCTGCTGAACTCCCACACCTGACCACTTTTAACTTTTAGGCAAAAACAAGATATTCTCATACTAAGAATAAAAAAAAAAAAGTAAAGATTTGCATTAGTTACTGAATGGCAAAGCTAGTCACTTTTTTTCTCTTTAATAGACGTTAAGTGCTCAGATAAAGAAGTAGTAAAAACAGCCCTGGATACCGGCAACAAAGCTGCTAGCTGCATCTTTAAGTCTTGGGTGGATGCTGGTCGAGGGTCTAAAACGTTAGAAGCTCTGGAGTTGGAGCTGATAGGCAGGACAGCGTCTGACACAAGCTAACAGGCAGCAGCGCAAAAACAGGCAGCGGCTCTGTCCTGATGATGTTTCTGCATTTGGGTGTTTTTTTCCATCTGAGATCTCAGGGATATAAGGTTGACATGAAGTCAGCTCTGCGTTCAAACCACGGTTTTTAAGCATCTTTCAACAGGGTGGCCACCTTGGCCAGCCTTGGGAGTTTTGCTGTATCCCTTGGAGTTTAAGAGCTGAAGGTGATGCTGAATGAAGCCCAGAGATGCTGTGTGATGGTCTGAGCTACGAATGGTTGTGTGACGATGGAGGGCCGTGAGCACTGGGCGACTGGGACATGTCTCTGCCGATGATCTCGTTTACTGCGGAAAGAAAACAAGAGCAGAAAGAGGGAGACAATTTAAAAGTGCTCTAAAGCATCCTAAAAACCCTTTAAAGATGCTGTGACAGTATCCATTATTGGGACGGAGATGTATGGTGTGACAGCAAAACTCAAACTCCTGCAAGTTCCTCACAAAACAAAATCAATCAATAAACTAAGCTATAACATTTATCTTTGTTTACCTGCCAAAAATATGCTTAAAAGCATCCTTTTCGTATATAACGTGATGTCTAGAGATTAGAGAGAACATGTGATACTGTGGTTGAAAATAACAGTGACTGATAACTTTTCTTGACTCTCTTTCTGTTTTTCGCCCACGCCAAAGCTTTTAAAGCTTTAGCATCTTAGCTGCTAAAAATATAGATCCAATTTGAGAATTTAAGGGCAGCGAACGTTAACCAAACAAGCCAAACATGTTACATGCACGCACTTGTCTATAAGCATGGCATTTCATATGCGATATGCTGCCAAACGCTTCAGTAAGGACGCTCTTTGTGATTGCAATGAATTATTTTAAAGGTTGTCTGATGGATTTCACTGTTTTTTATTGATTGCGATTCAATTCTGACATTTTTTTCCTGCACTTTTCCATCTATATAAAACTAACCTTGGGTTATATTTGTTTCTCTCCAGCAGAGGGCAGCATAGTTCCACAGCGGCATCTTTTAGAGAACACTACTATTGCTTCTTAATACTTTTAAATGGAAAAAAACTGCAACACTTTGGCAAACCAAGGGGTTGCAAAGTCATTTGCCCCAATGTGAGATATAATCATGGTCGACCTTACATATGAGAGAAACTATTCCACTCCCTGGCTCTGCCAGCCAGCCATTATACTTGTTTGAGTCCAGGAGTTCAGTCAGATAAGCCGTTCCAGTGGCTCCTTTAAAGAGCAGCAGGAGCAGCAGGCCTGCTCATTACTTCATTAACGGCGGTTCGGTACACTTCCTCAGACCCCTTCATGGGGTTTGTAAGCATGGCTGAAGAGCCGTGTGAAACCTACTCATTGGTAAAACAACATGTTGTTAATGTGAGAGAAGCACTCAGGCACAGCGAGGTTAATTACCCCCAAAGTCAGGCAGTGTGTGATTTAAAAAACGAAAAAACAAATAAGTCCTTCTCTGTCTGGCTTTTTAGTCGGCATGTGTGATTGTTTTCCATCTGCTGCCTCCATTTGGTGCATACAGTGGAACCACAAGAAGAAGAAAAAAAGCAGGGAGCAATTAAACAGAGAAAAAGCACAAAATAAAATAAAAAAAAGCAACCTATAGTTTTGAAGTATATCAAATACTTTGATGTGGGAAGGAAGACATGAGGATTGAGAGACAGAAGAATCCCATTTGGTTGAAATTGATAGCAAACGTGTCCCGTTTTCACTCTGACAGCATGGAATCGTTCAGTTTTTCATGCTCTGACTTCTTCATGTGGTTTCCCAAACAAACTTAAGTGTGACGATAAAAGGTTAGGGTTAAAGCAGCCTTAAAAAAAAAATGAGAGGGCGAACTGGTTTGGAGAGGGTGCAGTAGAGACCTCTGGCCCAGTTTGCAGGCAGACTTGTTTAGACATGGCAGGTAACACGCAGCTGTAAATCTCCACTGTAATGTAAAAATAAGACATTCCTTTGCTTATTAGAAACAAAGCTCTAACTGTAGCGTAGTAAAGGAACGAAAAGTAAGCAGGGAGTGACTCAGTTAATGATGAGCAAGCAGCCAAGTGTGTTTCAGAAAGAGAAACATATTTAAATAAGCGGAATAGCTATGAGCCACTATAAGCGCCATTTTTTAAAACATATTTCCACAGATTAAACTAAAAGGCTCTCTGTCTCTGCTTCTTACAGGCTCTGCTAAAGCATCCAGCTCTTGTCATTTAGCACCTCAGTGTGCATTATTTATGTTTCTTGGTGCTTTGCTTTTGTGTCTGGCCACCATCACTCACATCATCCTGTTAGCGTGGGAGGCTCTTCCTTTCCCATGTCAACCATGTTCACACACACACACCGTCACACTCGCAGAACCACCACGCACTTATGAGACTACCGTGCGACTATCAAAGCAAACATTTACCTTTGCATATGCAGCCTAACACTTGGGTATAATCTACGCCACTTTTGCCAATTTGTCACACCATTCCCTGAGTTAGAATAAAACTGTGATGGAGGAGCGAACATCTCCTTTAAAGGCCGTGACCTTTTAAAAGGCGACTGGTGCAGCTGGGCTCAAAATAAACTAAATCTTACAGCTGTTACAAGAGAGGCCGAGCAAAAGGGCGGCTGTATCTGTAAAAATTGAGAAGTGCGCTTCTTTTAACTAGGTTCCTCTCTGTTTGCTGCACTTTACACAGTAGCTGCTGCTCAATATTACCTATTTAAAGGGAATTTCAACCAAACAGAGATCAGAGAAAACAGAAAACTTGAATATTGGGATGTCATAGATGCAGTGAGTTACTGGACCAATCAGAGTCTTTGTAATCAAGGACCCTTTAGAGGTATTCTGCCTATTTGAGGTGCTAAATGGTAAATTTTGTGTCTAGAGGTCATAAAAGTAGAAATGCTGAAATACCACAGGAATATGAGCGACATCGAGCGAAGTCTGGCAGACCGACATTAAGTGGGCGTCTGCAAATACATATCACTTTCCGCTGAAAACAAACTGATCAGATTGTTGCACAGGCAAACATTAACCCGTGGCCTGACGAATCGCTCAGAGGAGGTGAACTCAGGCCCATCAGCACTAAATGAACTGAAAGGCACTGACTCGATCAACTGTGACTTCAGGGTAACTCCTCTCAATTTGATTCAGTGGCTTTTCTCATAAAACGAAGAGCCGGGACGAGTTACTGCACATGGTTTGTCAGAAACGTTTTTTTTTTTTTTTTCTGCTTACCTTCCACTACAGAGATTGTTTCTACTGCTCTAAATGCAAATTTGGATGATCTCATTTAAGGCTGTTAGATTGGAGGTGAGTTTTCCTTTTGGTGTGACAACAGAAAATGGAAAGCTGCCTGCCTTTCTGGATGTTTATCTCATGCACTATCGTAATTTCCCCTCTTGATTGTCACCAGTCGATCACGTTAAACACAAACTATTTATCTCAAAATAAACTAATAGCATCAGGTCATCAAAAACAAAATCAATAAATCAATAAAAAACCAATATTTCTTTTTCTTGGTCACTATGGCTGATATTTCTGCACCTCAATTTAAGGTGGGGCTCCACACATCAGGAATCCAGAAGTGAAAGAGAGCTTTGAGTCGAGCATAGCTTGACAATGGTTTCATAAGCTGATAGCGATTTCTCAGGTTTACTGGTATTGTTCATGACGGTGCAACAGAAAACCAGTGATTCAGCGCTGCCTGTCGTAGTAACTGTGGCTCAGAATGTCTCAGCCGGAGGGAGATCCTCTGCAGATGACTGGAAGGGGGGCTCCCTAGACAAAATATACATCTATAGTCAGCCGATGACTACTATCACTACTACTACATATGCTAGGCGGCTTTCAGCAGGTTCCTCCATCCAGCGAGAACTAAAGATCTCTATTTAAATTTTATTTAAAGCTAAGGCAAAGTAATTATCAGTATAAAATCCAGTTGCCTTGTTTTTGGTCCTTGCTATGTTATTTTCACAGAACATCAAAGAACAAGCTCTCAGAGGTTAGAGCATCATAAAGACTAGGGAAAACAGCAGACAGTCCGGGAAAGCTGTGAAAAAAGTCATAAAATATGATCCTAAGCTCTGATGAAGCACTGTTTAATCCATCGTCTGAAAATAAAAAGAGTATGACAGAACTACAACCCTGAAAAGAAATGTTCTTCCACACATAAAGAGACAGAAATGAGACATTCATGTGAGAAGCAGCCCAGAGGCTCATAGTTACTCTGGAGGAGCTGCAAAGATCAGGTGGGAGGATGTGAGCATTTGTTGTGGATTGCACAAATCAGAGCCGTATGGAGGACATTTGTATTTAAATGTTATTTTATTAAATATTTTCTATTCTATTGTTTCTAGTCAACTATATATTAAATTTTTTATGTTTTAAAAATATGGCTTATGTGCTGTTTGGGAAGCGCTCTGTTATTTTAATCAGTGCTCTGTAAATAAATCTTATAAGTGGTTAAAAGATTTCCACAGTCTTCATGTTATTTGCTGAAGCTGCTCGGCCAGATTAACGTCATCATTTAACTTTATAGATCAAAGGGAAAACTCTACATGTGAAAGATACCGACAAAGTGAATGAAACCTCCTCAAAATGAAAGCACCATGCTGTGGTGGTGCTCTGATCATGTTAAAATGGCTAAAGCCTGAGAATCTATTTTGATTTTATAAAAAGAGGAGAAAAAAAAAAAGAAAAACAACAAAGCCTCCAAATGTGCAGATCTGGTGCCATAACCCAATTGTAATGCAGATAAAGGTATTTATACTGATTCACTCATTGGATATAAATAAATTTAAGATTGTTAAAAAAATAAAGTATATTTGGATTCTTATTGACAACCATTTTTACTTTTTTTTATCAGTGACAAAAATGGCATTAGAAAATATGTGCTGCGTTTTAGCACTTTGAGGTCTTACAGTCAGGGAGGAATAAACCATTATTAAGCAGCATGGCTGACATTTTGGGTAATACATATGTATTATAATCAGGCCAAGGTGAAAGTGTTTCCCAAACCAAGTTTTCACATCTAGAAGGAGACCACCGTAAACGAGTAATTTCACCCCTTATTTCTAAAGAGCACATCTCAAGGGGCTCATAGAAGAGATCCCTCTAATGCAAAACAGAAGTAAAAAAGACATTCGGACATCCAGTAAAATAAGCACGTCTACTTCTAAAATGGAAAATGAGCAATTACCATAAACCTCTATGACACACTGAAAAAAGTTCCCTCACCCAGGCACAATAACATCACTCTGGCAAAGCCCCTTAAGCAAATAACATGAAGACTGACTGATTTTGACTCCAGAAAACGAAGACAGTCTGCCACAAT